CTAGAGATCATGTCACTTTTTATTTTTGATATGATTTACCTGTATTTATTGTGTGGGGATTTAAACAAATGGGAAATTATAATGACAGCAAAGCTTCAAAATGGTAGAAGGAAATCAGTTTATAGCAAATACCATACCACATGCATCAGCAAAGCCTTCACCTTTAAGATTGCAGCTTGCTTAGAAATATACCTGTTAGAAAATCCTGCTTAGCGATCCTTTAGAAATCCGTAACAGCAGAATTACAGACCTGAAACTCCCGCGCTATTTTTGGGACTTAAGTCCAATGTTTCCCAGCGTAATCTCCAAAAACAGTCCTAATAAAAGGGCCAATCATTCTCTGAAAACAATCAGTTTCGTCGATAAAATGAAAAAAATGTGCACCAAGAAGATAAGTTAATAATGTTGTCAATTTAAGTTCAATGCTTCAGTGTGGCCAATGAGGTGAGAACTTCCCCCTTCTAATGTCATTCCTTTTAACAGTGATTTCATACCTGGATGTTTTACAGAAAAAAACGTGCATTTTAATGCAGATATTGGCATATCTGTAAGTGTTTAATTTTTATGTGAGACTTTCAGCTTTATGTTGTTTCTAAAATGCTCCTTCACTGAGGCATTTAATATTAATGGCCTACATTTACAGGCTTAAATTCTGCACAAATCTGTAATTTAGATTTGAGTATTGGTCTTTCTTGAGTGATATTTCATGCTTAGAGAAAAAGGGACCGCTGTCAGCAAGCTGGACCTTAATTATTTATAAGAGTCTAAAACAGCTTCCAGCATTTCCACTTTGATACTCGCAGGTCCACAAGGACAGGCAGGGTAAATTTACAGATTACGGACCCTGCAAACAAAAGCTTCAACCTGAAGGGTTTTGCAAATATTTAATAATTATGGCAGGATGACGACACTCTCCTCTATTCAATAATACATGTGTTTGCATTCAAAATACATTAAAATACAGGAGTATGTCACGCTGATCGTTTTGAGTAACATAGTAATTATCCATCAGTTTGCCCAAAGTGGAAAAGCTCTTTGTCCATGAACTGTAAAATTACTTTCACTTTACGATGCCCTCTGTTATACACTTCATCTCCAATATTTTGGTTTTCCCCTGCCTGACAACATTGCCTGGAAATTGCCTAAATTGCCTAAATTACCAAAAACCCAAAGCGGTCAATGTGACCTCAATTTCAGAAGTGCAGGAAATGTGGGAGGAGGGAGGGGAGAGCTTGAAAGAAAATGGCCCTGCAGATCAATCACAACCCACACGATCCTTTCCTCTCTCTGCCTTTTTCCTGATGCTTGACTGAAGGAAGAGGAGCACACAGGTGACCTACCAGCGTTGATTGAAAATGTTCTGAGAGAGCTGGAGTGATGTTGCATCGACCACGACAAAATGACCAACTCGCAAAAACTCTTGAGTAAAGACATCAATTGATGTCTTATTTTCCAGCCTTCGCTATTCGAAACATTACCAGACTCATGGCACTTTGAAGCACATTACTACCACAATAATGTGCTTTTGTCAGAAGTAGTATACAAGCTAGAGAAAATGGGGAAAAAAAGAGGGATTTTTAAACCGGATAACACATTTTATAGATTTTGAAGAGCTGCATCTCGCTGATAAACCACTAAGCTAAAAAAAAAGTCACATAGTTCATTTTTCTTAGATCTTATGTAAGGTTTTTCCATAGGAGAAAGGTAGATGGGAAGATACACATCCTCAGTGTTACAAGCCTATACTTCTAGGTATTGTTTTTCTGGAAATCCTTGTGCTAAAGTAGAGATCATCCGAACATTTGATAAAAAATATGTCTCATAGCAGTGAAATAGACACGTGAAGGCTTATCAGAATCCACATGGCCTGCAATTCCTGAGAAGGCAACTATACAACGACCACAGCAAAGGCATCCTAAGTTCGTAGTGTCTTAGTGCACACCTCTGGCATGCTTGTGTTTCTTTTACAGTCTTATTGGTAATCTATTAAAATGGTGAACAAACGTGAACAGACTGCATGTGGGCTATCAAGAAGAATGATGAAACATTGAGGCCTCTTGCATAAATAAATCAATGAAAACCAAATTACAGAAAGATTATTTCTCTAATGTACTGTATCTAATTAACAAAAGATAAAAATGCTATTATTTACATTCTACAATAAAATATTTTTTGCAGAACATAAATAATCTAACAAATCAGTAACAGATTGGAATAAAACTGGAAATTAAAAGGTCATCTGATTCAAGTTCCAAGAATATTGTTACGGTTAAAACACCTAAGGAATTACACTTCCAGGACTAAAAACATTTCTCCCAAAAGCAAATGGAATATTATTCACCTAAGCCTAGATGACTAAGTCAAAATAAGATTTTTTTTTAAATCAGCTTTGCAAAATGAATGTGCTTTTTACATTCTTATATGTAATCCAATGGCAGCAAAGTACAAGAGCTGACAATAAAAAAGGCAAATGTAAAACCAACAAAACGTGGGATTTTTTGGGACATTACCTGGATCTTAGAACTTTAGACTAAATATAAGACTATTAACCTATTATTAGTGGTAAATACATATGTGGATGAACCATTTATGTTTCTCATGAGGATACCAACACCTGGTGTACAGCTAGCTCCACTCTTAAAGACCCGATGAGGAGAGTAAGTCACACGCCCTGGATGTTAAATTACAAAACCCACATTAAATAGAGACAATACTTTGAACAAATGTAGGAGCTTGCTGAGAAAACACTGCTTTCTGTCACAAATACACATCTTCCCCCAAACTGCAGCTTTCTGGATTTTTTCCCCCTTCTTTTCAGCCCTTTAAGAATTTATCTGTGCAATAAGAAGTTCTCTTCGGTCTCTGTGCACACTGCAGCTGTGAAACATGAGCTCTTGGACAGATCAGCGAGCGTCAAGTAGCAAATCGATACTCCCTGCAGAGGTTTTAAAACGTGTGATGAATAAAACTTTTTTTTCCACACAACTGGTCGAAAGTCATGCCTTTACCCAGCTCTTAACCCAAAACAAAGGCAGAGATCCAGCGAAACAGAAACAGCGAAAGGTTTCAGGACAAGTACTGACAGTCTGACTCTAGGACTGGAAACGCTCACACAGTGGCAACGCATTCTCCTGCCTTACTGCTGCCCTGGTCTCCTGAGGACATCATATATCAAGGGCTCCATGAGACACATACAGCACATACATTTCTCCAGCTCGGATCTGAATTGGTATCCCTGCAGCAACCAGCACTGTCTCACTTCCAGACCGCAGCAGGATGGAGAGGCGGGGGTGGATGGTGATGGTGATGGTGATAATGGGGGAGGCCACAGCATTCCCACCTGGCAGTGTCAGTGGAACTGGAACCCCACTTGTCTGCTTACTATCACAAAGCCACGGTCCTTAATCCGTGGCTTTGTGGCGTTCCGTGCAAGTCCTAAAAACGGGCCTCACGCAATGGAACACAAGGCAAGGCACACAGCATCACCTGGATGGAGGAATTGAAAGAATAACATCTGACGCCGAGCTCTAGCAGGAACTTGGTGCCTTCGGCTCTGTGCCTGCTCTCTCTCTCTCTCTGGGGCCATTAGGATGCATCTCGCGTGTCAGGATCCTCAGCAGCGAGCAGGCTTGACTTCAACAGGCCCTCTCGCCTCTGCAATCCCCGGGGGACGCGGCAAAGAGTGACATCATAGCCCCCGGAGACCACGCTGAGCGCTCGGATGCTGTTCCACCTGCCTCCCGGAGCCCCTCGGCTCTCTCCTCCTCGGACCGCCCCCAGCGCAGACGCCACGCTCCGATCCGGACTTTACCGACCCCCTCCCTGTTCTCGTCTCTTCACGCGCATCGATCCGGTTTCAAAACACGGCTTTTTTCCCCCTAGACCCTCTTTTAAATATTTCAAATACAAAACTTCAGCAATTCCTATGCAGTATCAGAATCTTTATGGCTGTAGTTCCAGTATTTCAATTTTCCCTCTCCATTTATATAAGTCACAGAATACAAAGCTACAACCATTTGTTTTGCCACGTATTGCTGAAATATACACTGGAAATGCTGCCTGCAGATGAGTATCAATTCAGAAATAAATCAAAGCGCTGCATTTCACAAAATGACCACGTATATTTACTAAAATACTATAGTTTTTTTTACCGCAACTACATAACGGCAAAGAAAAGAGACCTTTTCCCATCAACACTGCACTTATCCCTCCTTTATTGATCTATGCAGAAAACAATACTTAAGCACTTTAGATGAAAAAACAACCTCCACTGCATTATCTCAGCAAGACAGCCTTCACTGGGAAACTTCTTCCATTACTGAAAAAGACACAGTATCTGGACAAGTCCAACGAATAACAGAAAATAACACCTAAAAATCAGCCTTTTATGTCAAGTGTGCTGGGATCCTTGGCCATGAAAATCGGTCAGTGCACAAGTGAAATTATACTATTGAGTGTTTTCCTTTAAAATGTCCGAACAATAACGATCAGCCCGATGTGCTGAAAGAATGGGCCATTAAAATAAACGTAGCAAGACTAAATGTGCTATATATTACCCTTAATAAACGGCAAGCCAAAGCTTAGATTTTAAACACCGCACTAAACCGAAATGAGCGGCTCCGCACCCTCCCTGTAGTACACCAAAGAGATGCCGCATACACTGTATACACAACAATGAATCTCCAGGAGCTGAAAAAAAAAACCCACGCCTGCAGAACACGCCGATTCAAGGGAACGAGCGACAGATGGAAGCCAGAGCTAATCCAAAAACAAGCAAAGGCCCAAGAAAATTCATTTTACCTGAGGTCAGAAGCAGAGCCTCATGTCCAGGGCCCCGAACAAGCGTGCTTCCTTTTAAAGGGACGATGAAACAATGACACCAGCAGGACCGGTAGATCGGGTTACCCGGGCAACTGCATCCGAAACGCGAACCCGAAGATAATTCAGGATATTGAACCCCTCCCTTCCCTTTCCCATTAGAGGACCTGCGATTCTCTGACCTCCACTCCCAGCTGTTTCCGAGAGGTAGGCCCACAGAGAGGGAGGGCTGCTTCTCTCAGACAGCCGCGCAGCACAAAGAGACCGGAGAGGGGAGCTTGTACTCCACAGGGCGGGCCACACAAACGCACAAATATTGACTCGTCATCGCGAAAAACATCGATGCAAGAGAGACGAGAACAGTATTTTCCATGACGGCTTCCTTTGTCTCTATTTTTTAAACGCTGAACTAAACTAAATAGCCTAACACCCAATAAAAGCCCTACCCTTTACCTGCAGTACCTATACACTCAAGGCAGCGGAAGGCTTGTTTTCATCCCAAATTGTATCTCATCTGTACCCTCAAGCTGCTTTAGAAACACAGAAACCAAAAGTCACAGAGGGCAGCTTGTTTAAATGCGAGGATTTGATTAAGCCGCATTTCTAAGACAAATCACAAATTGACCTTCAGCTTCTGCTTCCTCTGCGGTAGATCAGTAAGGATAAATGAAGAACAAAACGCTGCTGGAAACAGGAGCCGTTTCTGATAAGATTTCCCTCTGCGCAGCCCACGTTTTCACCGCAGATGGGAAAAGACAGCTATTCTTAGCTTAATCCCCCCAAATTCCATGAACCATTTTAAAAGTCAGTAGAACAGATTAAATTTTCATTTTTTTATCATACATTATCAAAACTGCCTTCATGTCTGTGAAGTAAGGAGCAAGGAGCCAGCCGCAGACGTGACATTATTAGTTAATGCGCTGTCTATCGAGGATAGATCAACTAAATTCCAGGTTTTGGTAGAATAAAGCTTCAAACATTGTTTTTCTAACAGTTTTCAAATACAATTTTATGTGAAAATTTGGGCTCTGCAACTCAAAGTCCAATAGAGGGGATTCAATTTATTTTTAAATACTCAAAAGCAGAAGGACAATTTAGCTGAATAATGTCAATCTAATAATTAAAAACAGCTTCCGTTTAAAATTCAGGAAAATGTGAAACATTAAGTTTAAATTTGAGTTAGACTGATAATACAATGAACAAATCAAGACCCTAATTTTAATTCAGACTATAAAATTTCCTTAACTATCAAGTGAGCATTTTGTTTGTATTGATTTAACATGAAGAGGGTATAGGTATTTTTATCTGCTATTTTTTTTTGTCAGAGTCTGCTGCAGGTAACCCACAGATAAACTTATAGAATAAAGCAGTGAAGAAGCTGATGTCAGGTTGCAGTACACAATGGTTGTGTGCTAATATGAAACAGCTACTGAAAAAAAATGATTTGTTATTTTTTGTGGACAGTGCAAGAGTTTTTAAATCCATGAAAACCTAAAAGTCGAAGTCTGACTGATAGTCATTTAGCTACAAAAATATCCACATCTGCAGACACAATTCATTTCCAATAATCCAATAAACTGGGCAAAAATGAGTGTTCAGCTTTTATCAGAGCAGATCTCCGATATCGAGATCACGTGGCAGATTTACAGTCCTGCTTGTGCTGCAGAATCCAAGAACACAGCAGGACCCACCTCCCACATGAGGACTAACTGTGAGCTAAAAATCAAAAATTGGATCGGGCAGCTCCGTTGAACTCAAAAGCAAATCAGAAGCGAATCAAAACCTGAAATGAGTGGTGGGGGGGGGGGAACAAATAGATCTGTCTCCTGGCAATCTCAAAGCAAAAATTCCCAGGACATATACAGATCATAACCTGCTGTGATTGTGCACAAAAGCCTAATAGTGCAGGGAGATTTTCTGGGTTATGTCTGTGCACAGGCGGCTTTGAGACCATCTACGCTTGGCAGGGATGCTGGTGCCGACTGGCATGTCTGTATTGCACCTGGCAGAGTCTCATCTGGCATGCTAAAGCTCACAGCAGATGCCCTTCAGGCCAAAATGCAGACCAAGTGTGCCACACTGGGTCTGGGTAGAACATCTGCCCATTGTCCAAGTGTTCAGAGACATGCCTAGATAAAAAAAGCAAGCCAAACTGGATTTCCATTTTTTCTACCTCCCTCCTTCTTGGCTTCTGAAAAGCTGACGTACGCTCTCCGCAGAAGATGGATAATCTCTCCCAAAGGCCCTGGGCTCCTGTATTTTGCAAACCATATGTAAATGCTTATTAGAGAAACGATAAATGCTGGCTCATGTGCAGCACAGAAGAGTATATAAAAAGAAATAAGAAAACGTATCCTCAAATTAAAGGTTATTAACTGCCCGCTGAAGGCTATAACTAGAGCTGGCTCAGACACTCACATCAGTTTGGGGTGTGGTGCTTTGAGTTCAGTCATGACCTCAGAAACAGAGAGAGACTTGTAACGCACGCTGTGATTTACAATAGAACTGCAGGAATCATTTCAGAGCCAGCAAAGAAAACTAAAACTAAGCACCGCTGCAAAATTCAATAGAACTTTTCTCTTGCCCCTTTACTTTCTATTGGACACTCTTAGGACTTTCTTTTCCTTCCATCAATGATAAAATAAGTTCTAAAATAATGATTACCATTGCCACAAATAAAACTGGAGTAAAGAGTACAGTCCTCTCCCATTTCATTATTTTTCCTTAAGGCTTTATTTCTAAAGAGTTTAATATCTTGGCACATATATTTTTGTGGTATCGGAAGCAGAGCATAAAAGGACAACTCTGTGGTCATGCTTGTGTTATTTCCATGATGATTCATAAAAAAAGATGGAAGAAAAATAGACCTATGTCATGTAAGTTTGACACGACATTATATTTCACATCTTTGTATCATATCCCCTACAGCAGACATCTTTTCTTGTGTTCATTTAGGCATCACAGCAACTACCCCCCACATACTTCCTTCCAGAGGTCTGCGAACACTTTCAGGGCTGCAATCACATGTGTCACATGTGCACACAAACCTCCCAGACCAGCACGTTTGCCATGTTGGACAGAGGGCACAGAATACCAGGCAGCTGGGAGGATGTGGCTGAGTGGGTAATGACCAAAAAAAAAAAAAGGTCAATCAATCAACCACTGCTGGCAAGATCAGACAATCATTATGCACGCAAGCAGCTGTCTTCTCACTTAAACAGAGGACGTGTCCGGATCGAGGCCAGCACTGATCACTGTGCTGAGTTATTTTCATTCAGTTGCTCTTATTAAAAAAAAAAAACACACAAGAAACTCAGCTTCCTAACTGTTTTCCAAATAGCACGAAAGAGTCATTTTTAAGGGGAAAAGTCGCAGCTCTCTAAACTTCCTGAAAGAAACGTGAGAAGGTGAGTGGCTAGTCACCCAGACAAAAGAACGACAAGTTCTAACATGACCACACTTTTGCATGTGAGCAAAATACTAAAAAGGTGTGTGATTCCAGTACTAGGTTTTGGTGACAACAAAAAGCCTTTCTAAAAGGCTTTTCTACTCGTCTGAACCTTGATTTTTGTCTTTGTATAGAACTCAGCCATATAAAGAAGTCATTCCATTATATCTGACCCATTGGATGCAAACCCAAGACAGTTCATTCTTTTGTAAGGAGCCTCTCTCTGCATTTTTCTTGGGAATTTGTTGTGTTCTTATAGCTTTCACACAGTTGAAAATGTCAAAATATAAACATGATATTTTCTACAGACATTGCAAAGCCAATGTAAAACAAAAACAATTAAATGGAATTATAACATGATTTGAAAGACAGAACCTGTTTTTGCTTGAAAGGGTATTCTAAGCATTGTTGAATTTTATTGATCAATCACTTTATTACAATCAGAGAAAAATAATAATTACAAAAGCCTCTACAATAAGTCCTTTTCCTTACATAATGTGCAAGAAGATAAGCTTAGATTATTGATATGATAGCATCTGCAAATGTGTTTAATGCTGGGAAATGAATATAACACCAGGCAAGAAGCTTGATGATTACAGAAAGAGCTGCTTCTGCATTGCTTGGTACAAATCATTAGTCCAACACATATTTTGTGCTATATTTCAAGGGTTTTCTTTTTTTTTGGAGCTGCAACATGGGTAATTGTATTCAGATATTTAAAGCCATTAAGTCCCGGATTACTCCAGTAATAAGAAATGACCAAAACATTTGGGGCCAGCTGGAAGAATGCCTGCTCAAGTAAGAATTCTGCTGGCACTAATAGGCACAGTAAAGACTGCAGAACACGAGGACAGGACAAATCTGAAGTCATCCTCAAGGTAACACGTCTCCTCCCTAAAAACTATGTTGCTACATGCAATGCGTTCTTTCTTAATTGTTCTTGAAGAGTGCATATTCTTAAACTGTCCATCAATGTCAGACATTTTTATCAACTACTTAATAGCAACAAGAGTAAATGCAAAACTAATAACCAGAGCAAGCCCTGCCTGGAATGCGATTTTAATTAATGATGGAATATCATGCATTTTGTTGAAATGACTCTGTTCTGATTGTCATATACTCTGTCCTTCGATCTCCTGTGCTTTGTATCCCTGCCGCCTTCCGCTCTCTCCCTCGCACTTGAAGAAGGCTCAGTTGAAACACTGTTACTTCCTTGTACTTTTCAGCGTAGAAGCCCCGACTTCTTCCTTTGCAGCCAATGAGCTTTGACGCAGATCCCCACCTGAATCTTTGGCAGGACTTAAGACCTTGGCAATAAATACCAGCAAAGCTGCTGGAAAATGCATGACTTTACCAAAACCCTTTTCACAAGGCAGCTGCCAATTCTTATATCCAAGAGAGGAAACTAGCAAGACAGACCAGAATTGGACAATGTCACTGCTGGAAATGTATCCTGCACATTTACCATAAGTTCAGAATCTGACACCTGTATTAAGTGCTTCTAGAGGTCCTGTGCATATATCAACTCCTAAAGGACAAGGCTCAGGGAAATGCAAAACGTCTGTCTACAACATTCACTTCACACATCACAGAAATTAAATCGGATAAGGCGAGATGTTAAGTGTCTAATTCCCAAGTATTAAAAAAACACAACAGTTTCAAGGAAAAAAAAGACTTGCTTGGATTATTGGATTATAAACAGCCATTTTGGTTGGCTGGATCGGTGCTATTTTTATGTAATTGCTTGTCTGATATTTTTGCCTTCTAATAATTCAGGGTATGCTAGAATCATTTTAATCTTACATTTAAACATAACTGTGTGACTGTCATGTTCTAGACACTATAGTGTGCTTCTTCCAGAGTTCCCTTTTTAATTGCTTCTAGTCTCCACATGATAAGGTATGAAATAGCTTAGCAATAAAACAGTAGGAATGTTAACATCCACAAACGAAACCGGATAATCACATCTGACAGGAAGGTCTAAAAGGAAAAATTGCATGTTCTATTTTGTCATAATCATTTATTATAACCCACAACGCTGCAGTATGGAAAATGTTTGCATATGCTTTTCAAATGAAGGCAAACAAAAACTCCAACTAAATAAGAAGAGGAAACGCAACTCAAGGGCACGGCATAGGGAATTTCTGTACAAGCTTTATAATGGCACTGTTTTGCGATTTCTGCAATGACAGAAAGCAGGTTTTTAATGCCATTAAAAATACAGGCTGTCTTAAAAAACGCATTGCCTATAGCTGAGAAAAGCAATGCTGACTTTACCATCACAACACAAGTTTTCTTGCCTTGAAATTGCAAGATTCTGTGGTACTGTAGCTCTTGTCCGGGCGTGAGACACGGAGGGCAGATTGTGAATAGCTGACAATGTGTTCTGGATACTGCATCAAGAGGTCTGCCCTTGTGCTTCACTGAACTCACATGTTGCTCTATGGCCTTGGCAAGCACAGACAAAGTAGAAAAGAATGTTCTCATCTATCTCAGGCCAAAGTGTTGTGCCACCCCCCCACCACCACCACAAGCTATGCCCAGCTCTCTCACATAAAGACAACCACTAACAACTGGGCAAACTGGGCCAGCCAGGAAGACGACGATGATGGATCTGGACCTAGATAAAAATGGGGGAAGGCTTGTGAGAAACTGGATGATTCCTAGGTGAGGATACTGTGGAATTGTGATGGAAATATTATGTGACAGGTGTTGACAAACTACATTAGCTCTCAGTTACCACACCGTGACAGACAGACACTAGATAACCCAGAATCCTTGTCCGTTTAAATGCATTTATACACTGCACTTGGGAATCTATATAGTTATTTTAATCATGGTTTTTTTAATTTTGGTTTCAACTGAAGAACAATATAACAGCATTAGATTGCCTATTACTACCAAATATGCGTCAAGTTCCACACTTTTGCATGTGTGTATACCAATGAAGAACAAATTCCTAGAATCCAGACATTTTGCAGTTTCCATGCAGTGTAGTAGCTTACAGAATGGTCAGATGTGTCAAGTTTGCGTGAAGAAAGGCTCTCAGAGTTTTCTCTAAGGTTAGTCTACTTTTTTTTAGAAATCCAAAGTGATGAATGAAGAAATAACATGTTATGATGAGTGAAAGCTGTTTACAAAATACCAGGAATAGCATCAAACTCTGGCAGGAAAAAAAAACAACAAAAATGACCTTTCTTTTTATAAACACACACTATCTGTTGGATTTACAGTTTACTGAACACTGAAAACGCATATGAAAAAAGAAGAAAACTTTGTGCTTTTAGAATTGCAGCAGGCAGACTCATTAGCAATGATTCACAGTCCAAAAGTCCAGCCACCCACAGATCAAGGGCAATGCCAAGACACTACAATACCATAGGTGGCTAAAAACCACAGGCACAACTTCATATTGAACGTTTTAAACAAAAACCACTAAAGATATTTATTTAATACATGAAGTTTAAATTTCAAGTAGAGACTTATTTCCTAATACAGTCATCATTATTAAAATGACAGTAGTATAGCAATAATCTAAAAGAGGAAATGCCAATTGCAAAAATATGCCAAACAAGAAGACATTAGTTTTTTTTGTTAAGTTTTTAATTTTGGTACGTTTTTAAGAAATGTAAGCAGAAACCTATGTATATCACGAAGTCTAACAAGGATAATAGTGCCAGCTTTCCTAATTTATATTACAGAATAAAATAATCTTCATTTCACATAAACAAAGAAAGACATAGGCAACGGATAAGATGTGTGCATAAAAATCACCCCAGAAGGCCCTAAATAAAACTTGTATTGTTAGTTCTCTCATTTCTAACCAGAAATACACTTACGCACATGAAGAAATTCTAGTATACCAAGCATTCTGGTTTGTTAGTTTATAAGACTAATAAAATTAGCCAGTTCTGAAGTCAGAAACCTCAGCAGGTACAGTATATTAATATTTAAGCAGCAGTGCAGAAAAATGAAAACCACGCAAATAAGTCATCGAATAAATGGAGCACACTGGTCTCTTCCATGTTGAATAGTACCTGCACTGCTAATGTATCCAATGAAAATCATTTTAATTATCAAGAAAGCGCTTGCACAATTGTATCACGTACTTTACCAAATCTAATATTAAGTTACTAAAATCTGAAACCAGTTTATCCATAGTAACTTCACGAAAGTCAGGTGATATGATACTGCAATGTATTTTACAATTCAAATCCCCGTCTTTGTACGGAATTATTATTACTGCAGTAAATATTGTGATATTGCCTTAAGCATAAAGGTACAATAGTGTTCTTTGTTTTCAGCTGTTCGAACAAGATAACAATACGTCTACTATATTAGTTACATAGAAAACCGAAACCTTTTAGAACAATGAGCCCTGTGCCTTTTAAATTTTTATACATTGATAATACATGACTGCAAACAGTAACACAATTGTCAAAAAAAAGCAAAAATATTTATTAGCATTCTGTCAAAGATACCATGACGTAAATGCCGTCTTTAGAGGAAAAATGATGGACTCCAATATGAAAAACAACATAATACCCACATTGACAGGTGGGGTGAGCTCGTATTTAATAAAAGAACCTTAACCAAAGCAGAAAACCGACCTCCCAACGCTACCGCATATTGTTAATCGTACCTCCGTATTTTTTGCTGAAACACCCTGCAGGCGCTGAGGTTACCGTTTCCAAAGCTCAGAGATACATCAACACGAAATATCGCATCACGGTCTGGTCACTCCCTCACGAAATCAGCAACGTACCGCACAGCTCCAGTTCCTGTGTAGTCCCACCGCCAGACAAAAAACTGGGAGTCGCTGTCCTAATCTCTCGATGCGGGAGGCTCTATCTCATTCTTCGGGATGTTAACACGCAAGCACAGGTTGAAAGTCTTATTAGAGAAGCCCGTTTTCCAAATTATATTTATGCGCGACGTGCGCTATCAAATCGTTTGTTTCGCTGGAACCTTTTTTCCAGCTTCTCCAATGCCCCAGTCCCTTTAAATCCAAGATGTCTGCCTGTGCTCCTGCGCGCATCCACCCGGCAGCTTTATGAATGACGTTTGATTTTTCCGTGTGAACCGGGCGGAGCCGTCTGTTGTAACATTGTGGCAACAACAGCCCATTGTCAGCCAGAACAGACACGTTGGGAAAGTGGTGCAGGACCGATCTAGCTGTTAAACTGAATGGATATTTTTTTAAAATAAGATGCCAGCGCAGTAGATCGTTAATGCAAAGATGTAAAAAAGCTGTTTGTTGTTACATTAACCTAGTAGGTGTGTGTTGTCATGTGATTCCCTGTCAGACATGTCCTGACCCTGAATATTATTATGCGGAGAAATTGCAGACAATAATTCTCGCTAGGTCATACCCTGGTCTCAGAAATATTTTTTTCTAACCAGGTGCTTATGAACTGCAGAACAACGGTGATTTGTATTCTAAACTCTTATCATATATTTTTAATCCTCTGCAAAAACTACTGTAATGATGGAAAGGGGTAAAACAAAATGTATTTATTCGTGGCAGTTATATCTATACTGTCCATTGTTCACTGAATGATATCAAATCAACGAGCAACAGCGGCAGACCATCTTCCTACCTGAATCTCTAAACAGGGCGATTCGCCAATCGACATAGACTAGGAAAAATGACGCCATCGAGGAAGGGTAACGTCATCACTGGGCGACAAAGCGTGTGTTCTGCTAAAATAATATTCTGACCTATCTTCGTCTTGACCTATTGACTGATATTAGACGGAGGTAAGAGAAAACACAATTTGGTCTATTTTAAAATATGTGATGTAATGTAAAGAAATGACGTCTTGTTTTATTACAGCTCCCTGAACTGTAAAATTCGAATGTATAGTAGTATACATTTATATGACTGAAGTGGAAATTTTAAGTGTCAACTTGATGCTGAATAGTACAGATATTTTCTCCAAAATTATTTTAGTGCAAGTTACAAAAGCAAATGGAATATCTTTTTTGTTCTTGGACAAGAAAGTATATTTCGCAGAATGATATGATAGGACGTTACAACGCGGGATAGATTATGTAGGCAGCACTTGATACGGGATACGTATTAAGAACAGCGGAATCCCAAACTGTCGCCCTACTACACACAAAATACCGAATAGTATAAGGATAACATCTAGAACCTAGTTCTTTTGGAAGAATCTTTCTGTTTTCTTCTCTATGAGGATTTCAATTAGGATACAAGGTAATTATTCTCTTAGTTCCCATTTTAATCCTTTTAAATGGGAAGCAGGAAAAAAAGGTAGAGACCTTTTGAGGCTACTGGACAGTGGCCGAGGATGAGTGGGTTTGAAAAACTCTTACAATAAAGCAAACCTATAAAACATGGAACCGATTTTGGATTAAAGGAATGTATGCACATTTGCATTTCTCATTTAATAACGTTGGCACGCCAATACAACAGTAACTGCTTATCTTATCAGGCAAAATTGGCCAAGTTACTGCAGTAAAGCACTAATAGTGCGTCCTGCTTTCGAATGAGGACTTTGCGGTATTCTGTATTTTTTGCTGTCTTATGGAACAGCTGGGGTTGTAAGTGCACTCGCTGACCGTTTTGTCTGGGCTTATCGAAGGGGCTGCCAGCGAGGCGCAGAATGGCGGTGTCGGCCCTCTCTCGGGCACTACGCTCCCTTGCTCTCTCACCCCTCGGCAGCATGGCTGCTGAAAGCAGCAGACCCACCTCGCTGTCCTCGCAGGTGAGTTCTACAGTAAGTACTCGCACTCAGTAGTGAGCATCTAGCAGGATTGTAGAAACGCAGTGGTCCTGATGAAATGCTTTCAGCATGCTCTGTGCATAGTCTTGATAAACTTTGGGCAGATAGTTGATTTTTCATTGACAGTGGTTATAGATCAGGATTCAGTAGTGGGTCAGGGAAGTTAAAAGAGGGACACTTGTCTTACCAAACCCAGCTGAGCCTGTCTGACTGGTCTGGGTAGAATGCCCATGGACTGTCCCAGTTGACCTGTCTTCTCTGTGGTTCAACAGCAATGAACCAAGACACTGTACAGAAAAGGTAATAGTCAGGTTGGTGACTAAATGAGTACAGGGAGTAGTACTTGTTAAAAAATCTCAGTTGAATCAGTTCGCCCTGCCTTCTGCTCAGCCTGCCTGGTAAAATCTAGGATTAGGGTTCTGTATTTGTAACTGGAAGGTTGTGGGATCAATCCCAGGTGAAACATTGGTGTTGTATACGTGATCAAGTTATTTCACAATAATTTCTCACATAGATTGTTTTGGAGTAAACTGTCAGCCAAAGAGATTAGTGAGTGATGGCACTTCTTCTTTTTTCCTTGTGCGAACTGCATTCCCAGGTGGTGAAACAGGCTGCAGGGTGGAGACTGTGCTCCAGCCCAGCCTGCTCAAGACCACTGCTGGCTCTGCCCAGACCGCCCCTCCAGACCCTCACTGGGTTGTCATGGCGAGGCCTTCAGACCTCTGCTGCCCTGGCTCAGAACAGGACCCTCTGGAAACAGAGAACCAAGTATACCGTCCGCCCCATTGGCATGAAGAAAACTGGAGGCAGGGACCACACAGGTGTGTGAAGACATGCGTGCGTCAGTCCGGATGGTCCGACAGTGTGATCGTTGCAGAGTTCCAGTGTACCTGCTGGGGTCTGAGCCTAAATTCAATACTCCTTTTCTGACGAGAATATTGGGAGATCAGAAAGGTTTGGCTGACTAAAAGGGAATCAGCAAGGCAGGATAAAGACAACGTGTAGCAGCTGAAGAATGGCAGCCTGTTCCTCCCTTCTACACCTTCCTCTTTCATAATTTGTTTGGAGAATATCATTTAGGATTAGAGCTTCACAAGGGGCATTGGAGATTTGCTCATTGTCACAGGAGATGAGCTCCCTTCATTGAATGGTGAAGGCAGTTTCTCATGAATACCCTGTACTTTCTTAAGGAAATGAGGAAAGGTGCTGTAAAAATGGGATTTGTTGTAATACGATACCCAAACGCTTCTCTGCTCAGGGAAAATCCGGAGGCATGGGATTGGAGGTGGGCACAAGCAGCGCTATCGCATTGTGGATTTCCAGCGTCTGCGCTTCGAACCTGGGAAAGAAGGTCAGACCTTTGAGGAGAAGGTGATCGAAGTTCGATACGACCCCTGCAGGTGAGAGGGAAGGACAGAAGTGATCTCCTCTAATGTTTCCATTTCTGGGGAGGGTGTTCCCTTTAAAATGTAATGGACATGTTCAGTATGGGATAGAAAGCTCAGGACTATTGGTCTTGTGAGGGAAAAGACATGGTTTTAAAGCTGAAGGAAATAAAGTGTCTACAGTGTTTAACATCTTTTTTGGTTTGTTGGTGAAACAGGTTATGATAATGACTGGGGGACCATCAGTTCTATCTGCTGTGCATTTTTCCATTTGCAGGTCTGCAGACATTGCTATGGTGGCAGGGGGCAGTCGAAAACGCTGGATTATTGCCACTGAGAACATGCAGACAGGTGACGTCATCAAAACCTCTGGCGTCATTGGCAGGATGGCAGGTGAGATACTTTGGCCACTTGAAGGCGTTTCCAATACCCAAGCCAGCTTTATGTAGAAGTGGATTTCCGCCGGATCACATTTTACCAGGAGACTTATGAGTGGGGAGCTGCGTGAGCAGGCGTCGGCTGCCAAAGAACAAGTCGAGTTTAATTCCGCAACGAAAAGTAGAAGAGGAAACAGTGTTTAGGCTAGAGAGTCTTCTACATACAGTACTCAACAGCGGGAATGTTATGTTTCTTTTTACTTTTCAGTGTGGAATTAGACTTTACTTGCTATTTTACTTGGCACCAGTTAATGCCACTTTAAGAAGGTATTGGATAATTTACCTGCCACCTGGTGTTCAATTTTGGTAATTGCAGCATTTGTCCTGTTTAAACAAATGCCCATAAACATTTTACAATTCAGTTCACTATTACTTTCTTTGCATATGTGTGAATGAGAAGTCTCTTTAGTATGTTCTGATTCCCAGCCTTGTGTAATGTCCACAACCAATTAATAATCCTGTAGCCCATGATCAATAGTGACAACAGCTTATTCTTAAAAACATCTATTTATTGATTTACACTTACTTCTTGCACAATATATTATTTTTTATTCATACATTTATAAAGTGGTACATGTAGTGTACTGGTGTCCTCTCCCACTACTGTTTCTTTAACCTTCCTTGGGTCTTGCTGTATAGCCAGGGCTTGTCAAGCATTAATATACCTGTTTTGATTTCTCAGTCTCAGCCAATGAGGGTGACTCATATGCTCTCGGTGCCCTTCCTGTGGGAACACTGGTCAATAACCTGGAGATCTACCCTGGCAAAGGAGCACAGTACATCCGTGCTGCAGGTAAAGAGCACAGGCCAGTCCAGACGTTGGAAAGAATTTGCGTCCATGACTTTTTAGGCTAGTCCTTTACAGACGAGAGATGTCAATACCAGTCTAAAGGTTGTTAAAGCCCAGACTGTGGCTCTTGCAGGGACATGTGGAGTTCTGCTGAGAAAGGTGAATGGAACTGCAATTGTACAGCTACCTTCTAAACGGCAAATCCAGGTAGGTATGCATTTTTAATTGTCATACGTGGTGGAGAATAGGATCACTCAAATTGTAGATCCTCTAAACCACTCCATTGCTGAATTGCGGACCAAACAGCTTGCACTCATGCAATTACTCCCTAAAAGGATCGGTTTATTAATTAAGGTGCTTGTTGCTAATGTGTTGTAATAGAGCAGCTTGGTAGAGCTTTGTGTTGAGTAGCCCTGCTGTAGATCATAAGATTTAAATATAAATGTCACCCTGCAGTGTCAGGACACACAGAACCTCTTAACCTTAGTCATTGGTTGTGCTGTCAAGAAATTCCAAAGATCAAGAAGCCAAAGATCAGGACATACCTGCATGACTTCAGCAAATTGTCACAAGAATAATGTCTGCAGCCTTGGCAGCAAATTACATCTGCTGTCTTCAGTCATTACTAGACAGTTGGCATTCTGAATATGCAGTTCATGGATTGCTTTTACTTTCTTTATATACAGTATGTAAGATATTGCTACACGGTAAAAGAAAATGGAAGAGGCCAATAAAGTTAAGCATTTGCATGTTATCTATTGTTTTAGATTTGGCTCAATTACTCATTATGAGCTTTTCACACATAGGTTGCATGGACAGAGTTCTCATGGTGACAATGGCAAATGTGGCGAATTTGTGTCAAGTTAGTTTCTGTAAGCTAAACTGTAAAACCTGCACCTGAGTGACAGCTAGGCCGCAGGTGTATTTATGTCCACCGTGCCCAGTCTCAGTACACTGGAGTACCACACAGTTGTTTGAAGTGAGCCTGATTGCGTGGATAATCGCCACACTGGTGTTAAATGAAAAATATTGCTCTTTAAACCTGCAACATGTTTTTACCAAGTACAGTCGACTCGCAATTTATGCGGGGGTTAGGGGTTAGTTTTGAGTAGCATGGAAAGCCAAATTGTACTCTATAACCCTTATAAAAATCCCCTACTAGACTCTTAGGATAATTCAAGACATTTAAGTATAAAAACAGTAAAACTGTAATTATATCTGTTATAATAGAAAGTGTGCTTTGCACTTGTATACAGACTGCTCCTAGTGTTTTTTTATCTAAACTTTGACTCTTTACCCCTACTGTATATGGTGTGCGCCCTAGTTTGTTTGGTGTGGCAGTATTACAAACCGATTTCTCCAATTTGATTGCTTTGCCTGGACGTGAGGGGAGAAGGCCTCCTAAGGGGCTTCTAAGGAAGGGAAAGGATCGAAGATGGCGTGTACACACGTTTCCATTTCGCCAGCCGGTCAGCTCCTCTTCCCTGTGTGCTCCGTCCTCCCGCAGGTACTGGAGACGTGCATGGCCACCGTGGGGCGCGTGTCCAACATCAATCACAACAGGCGCATCATCGGCAAGGCCGGGCGCAACCGCTGGCTGGGCATCCGGCCCTCCAGCGGCCTGTGGAAGAGGAAGGGGGGCTGGGCGGGGCGCAAGATCAAGCCCCTGCCCCCCATGAAGAGCTACGTCAACCTGGCCCCTGTGGCCGCGGTCTCCTAGCCGTCCCCCTGCCCTGCAGGACCGGGGAAGACACGCACGCGCGCCACTGCACTCTCTGTTGAACCTGGGCTGCAAGAGTGAGCACGTCCTTCTAGCACTTCCGTGTCCACTTCCTTAACTTTGTGAGTGAAGCTGTACTTTAAGTGAATGTTATTAAACTTGATGCTCACACGTGGGGGGCAACACTGTTTTCCATTTCCCTCTTTGTTTGTAAAGCAATGTTGGGACATATTGTAATATAGAGTAACAAGTAACAGGGCACACTAAGACAGTGGAACTGCCTTCTAATTTCTCCAGCACAGATGTATTGCACATTACTTTATAAATGAAAGTCAGGTTTTCCCCATCTGCTTGAATTCTAGGGTAACAAATGGTCTTTCACACTTCAAACATGCAACATGACCTGTTAATGGTATTATTTAAAACTGGCACATTCGTCCAATGTGTTATAGCAGCTTTGACCCTGAACATTTCACTCTACATAATCGAGTCGCAGTAGTTTGAAGTTTGAATAGTTGACTGTGGTTGACAGTTTCCAGCGATTCTAACTGTGACCCTGTGGAATGTTTTGGGAGACTTCTATTGTAAGTGAGCAGTTGATATACTTTAAGTAAGCGGTTTTCCATACAACTGCTCTTTGTCAGCTTTTATACTTTCTGCATGCAAAAAAAAAAAGAGTTTAGTTTAGGTCTGCTATAGCAAAGGAAGTCAATACTTATGCAATCAACATATCTTATTGAGTTGTCTTTGGAAGTTCATGTGGACTTAATTTTTTTTTCCCCCCACCCAAAAATGTGTTCAGTGTGAGGATTCAAGCTGCTAGTAAAATATTCACTTCAAATAAAAGTACAGACATTTGATGTGTTCAATTCAACAAAATAGGAAATTGGAAGGGGTTGAATACCTTTGTGATCTGCTGTATCTACCTGCTTATGTAGAAAATAAATGTTAAAGCAAATTATTTTTTATCCTCTTTCTAGAAGAGGTGAAAGAGCAAGTCAGAGAAAGTAAAACTAAGAGCAACTTATAAGGAAGGTTAAAAATATTTTAATAAACACAGCTGCTTGTGGAAGCATGGAAAAAAACAAAACAATATAAAATTACAATACATATTTACATCTATTTTTAAAACATGCAAAGATTAAACCATGTTTTATTTAGTGGTAAATTTAAAAATACTGTCATAATTTAAAACAAAGTTTGTGCAAAGATGCCCGCTATCTAGATTAAGAGCAGACAAGCCCAAAGTTAAATAGAATTAACTACAATAATCCAGCTTCATTAAAATTGCCCTTTATAATCAAAAGGGTTGTCTCCTCCAATTCCTCAGAGTTAGTGCTTTAAAGCCAAAGAATTAAATTGTCAACAGTGAATGTGACAGAGTAAGACAGATTGTTCTGTGAGAGGAACAGAGAACGTCAGAACAATTCCAAAACTTGTTTTAAACTCGGATGTCCGAAAACCAAATACCTGTGAACGTAAAGATGACATAAACTGAAGTAAAATTAACAATCCATTGTAAAGAATCCCAGCATCATAAAAAAACTGCCACCTTTCTTCAGAGCTATCAGGCCTCTCATTTTCAATCAAACAAAATTGCACAGTAGTCCTCTAAAAAGGAACTTGGGTTATAAGATGAATAAGGCGTATCTGACCTGAATTGGTTAACTTGTAAACTAGGCTGCACACATTTTTAATGCATTAAAAAAGCAATAGTTTGAGCTTTGCTGTAGCCAACTAAGAAGTAAGGTTGTTTGACTTTTGTGTAGAATGCTTAAAGCTTTGAGATTTGTGACAGACTTATTTTAGAACATTAACCCATAAAACATGTAAGAAACCAAAAATTACTTGGAGTGATTCAAAGAGTGTGTAAAAAAAAAAGTCAGAGTGCTCCAAAAGTGTTTTGAAAAAAAACATCCCATATTTCATCACTAAAGTGTTAATTTTGTGATGGGTATCCTACAAGGGTATAGTAGAAAAAGGCTTCACAACCCTAAGCTATAAAACAGCACCACATAAATACACAAACCTAATACTGCTGTAATCCCTCAACAAAGTCAGTGACAGTGATAAGCCACCTAAAACAAAAAAAATAAGCTTGAATTCTTAAGGTTTTACCACCCCAGGAACAGACTAAGCTTTTATTTTTTAGCTTTGGAAAAAAGCTTAACCATGTGCTTTTTTGTTCAGTGTTAATGAGAAGGTCTTCACGTGACAGTTTTGTTACTAATAGCGTACAAGAGTCAAACCTGCATCCAAAAGAGATACTGTACAAGCGTAATGACCAAGTTTTGCAAAAGCGACAAACTTACAATTTAAATGAGGAAATTAGTGCTCACAGTCAAGTATATTCTCCCTTTTAATCTGAGAAAGATGAATTTCAATAAGAAAACGTCACACAAGCAGGACCTGCAACAGTGCCATCATATATAACACACTGACCATAAGGCCAGGCTGTTGTGCTAAACCTTTGTCTTTCATTAAAGCAGGTGCATTCTTTTAAAATTTGAAATTACACCTCCTGACACCATCAGATCTTTGCATCTGGAAAAATCAGAAATGATTAAAGTAATTGCTTTCATGCCCCACTCCTCCCTACCGAACCAAAACTCCTTCTGCCTACAATTCTGCCTACGAACATCCTACTTTTTCATTAATATTTGAAATCTACGTTCTGAGGTGAAAAACGCAGAGCTTTGCAGAGTGCAGTCACTGCCAGTTCTCATACTGAGCCCCCGTGACAGTCACTGATAAACCACACAGGAGTGAACTGTTTGACACTTTGACACTTCTCTCTCTTGTGGGTCTCTTTCATCCCTGTATTCACAGCCTGCTAGAACATGAAAGCAGCTTTGTCTAAGACAACACCTCAGCTCAATATCACTAAAGCAACCTTGGTTGAAGCTGGGAACTCATTTGTTTCACACAAACACTTCTAACTCTTGTCTCTGCAGTAATGCAAAAATGGAAATTTAAAGGGAAATTTTTAAAATGTAAAGTGTAGAGATACAAATCCACCGATTCACTGTACTCAACACACTGTGCAAGGCAACAATTTAATTGCCCCTGGAACCCTTCCTATTAACAATAAGAAAAAACGAGAGCAGCTCATGTAACAGTTTTAAGATGTTAAACACTGAATCACATGGTTTCCATGGTTTCTGCACTGACATGGATAAACTGCACAACTGCACTGCAAGATTCATTATGGAGCCACACTGAGAATAGACCCCTCTGAATCTCAGTTCACGGAGAAGAAAAGAAAAGAAAAGCACGCCTCTGTTTCCAGTGCTGATATTACAAAAAGCCTCTTCTAAAGGAACGTTCAGACTAGTTTTTTCATATCCCAGTTTGTGATAGTTTTACAAATCTGTTGGTTTGCCAAATGATTTGCAGTTTACTCTCTCCAGTATGGGTTGAGAATGGTAGCATCTCCTTTTACACTCTAGTACTTAGCGCCAGTATTACTAAAGATGAACAAAACACCATGTCATCTTAATCCAATCTGAAATAGCTCCTGCTACATCAGAGCTAACGGTTTAGTATCTTCAACGAGCAAACGCTTAAGATCAATAATTTCAAAACCTAGTTCCTGATTCCGGTCTTTGGCCTGTGTCTGCTACCACTTACAACGTGGTAACTGAGATACATTCAATGCATTTATCAAGAATCAGCCTTAGCCCCTTCTTCCATATGTATTTCTTACATCAGTGTGACAGAAACCGGTTTAGGGATTAGTCATTGATCAGGCAGCTGTGAAACAATTTATGTGTTACATCTAATATAGTAAACCAGATTCATTCAGCATGCAGAAACGGTCATATGATGCAGTCTGCACAATGCACAAAGACCACACAGATATGGAGTCTGTCTTGTTTCTTACAGGAAAAAAACAAAACAAAGTATGGCACCTTGCTCCAGGGTCATTGTAGCTGAGGCAGTTTTTTTTAAAAACAGAAGGGTTTGCTTGCTCCTGTGTATTGGGTCTGAGGTTTCCCAATACAGGGCTGTAAGATGTTTATATGCCCCTCTCCCAATGCACATAAATGTCATTTGTTATCCCACGGTACACAACAATAATAAAGTGCACATGTAGCTGACTGGAGTGGTTTGCCATGGGTGTAGTGTAAGAAATTCAATCTTAATGTACCCGTGAACCTGTGGGACAGACATCACAAAGTGCTGAGAGGTTTACGGCAATGCAGCCTCACGTTCCATTGATCGAGTACAGGTGTACTGTCCTGTTTTGTGTAACAAGGGATTACTTTATTCCCACTCCAAAAAATAATGGCCATCACAGTATCCATTCAAACCTCACAAATTGGATGCAAAGAAAACCATCAAAGGAGAGCAGAAAGAGGCTTCCGATCGGGGAGAGGTCTCTTTGCTCTGAGTCTGGGTTCCGCCAGCCCGTGTGGTTAAAAACAAGCAATAGTGCTCCCAGGAAATGAGCTACACACACCTACAAACATGTTTGAGTTAGCAAACAGCTAAACTGATTATTACATTTGGTGTTTAGCTGCAGGCCCAAAACAAAGAAAACAACGAAAGAAAATGCACTGAAATCTAAAGGAGATGGTGAAAACCCCTAGACTGTACAATGTTGATTTTCGTCTCCGAGGCCAGTGATGGCCACCAGCTGTGCCACTGTCAATTCAGCTCCTTCCTGAGGATGACGGGCTTCGCCTACAGCACGGCTGGCAAGATTGTAAAACCGCTTTCACGGCCAAAAACTGACTGCCCACTACACTACAACCCACAGCAGGATCTCACCCAATCCCCTTTTTAAAAGCTCCACCAGGTTCTCCCCGTTAGAATCTGGGGGGTTTAATCTTCAGGCATCAAAGTCTCTGCATATTATTGTGGCTGAGTACAGATGTTTGTATTTTTTGCTTCCAAATCCACAGTGTGCTTTAAAAAATAAAAGAAAGCCGAGTTTGCTCGCTAAAAGTTCTCTTAGTAAAAATGGCAGTAAGTCTTTAAAAAAAGAAGAACAATTTCAGAAGTGGACTCCTTAGCTAGTTTCACAGCAGCACTTTGTTTTTTGCACCAAAAGAAAATCACACATCCCCCGCCCCCCCCAAAAACACACTGCACCTTAGGCTGCTTTAGTAACAATAATCCACGTTTTCACAGAAACAATACAAAATGAAAAGTGCAAACTAAGCTGCCGTAGTTGTTTTTTTTCCCCAGAAATACTTTCCAGATTGGCAGCCATTCTGAAATAAAAAGTGTTAGTTGTTAGCGTTGTTCGGTGTAAAAAATAAAAAAAAAACATAAAAAATTAAATATTGAGAACAACCTCTTGAGAATCTAAATTTCCACAGGAAAACATATTTTTTCATCTCCTTCTCTCTAAAAGACAACGGTGTTAAAAAGTTTTTTTTTCCTCGTCACGGCAACAGACGTCACACGGGCTTCATGTATCCGAATATTCCGACTGGGAAGTGCTTGACGTGAGTGGGCCATTGAGCGGCCAGCTGGAAAAACTTGACATCGTTCCATTCCACTCCGTCGATGGAGACTGTGGAGAGAAGGGAAACGTGTGCGTGACTGTTTACACCAACCCTCCGGGGGTGAGCAGTCTAGCGTTCATAAAACTCTTCAAGGTACCAATATCTGGCACCTTGCTTGAGGGTCATTGTACCTGGGCCTGTGGCAGTAAATAAATAAAGGGGTTTGCTTGAATGAGCCATTCTTGTGTACTGGTATTGAGGTTTCCCAAAACAGGTCTGCAAAATATTGATATGCTCATCTCCCAAAGCATAGAAAGAACATTTTTATCCCATCATAGCGTGCGTCTCTTAGCAGGCTAGGAGCTCTGGATAACAAAAGAGAGGTCGGGCAGGGACCTTGAATAGTTTTCTCTCTAGGAAGCATTTTTCCCTGCTATTAACTAGAAGAAACAACCCTTGTTCCTACTCATCTCAAACTTGAACTCTGTCCATAGACATAAGCTATTAAGAAGCCTGAGCTGTCAGACTCTTAATGCCACTGCTATACATATCATTTCTGAAACATGCCTGTGAAAATGACAGATCTATGGGATTAACTCTGCTGTTCGCAGAGTCTTTCAGTTTCTGTTCTTAATGGTGACTAATTATTGTTGAGTATTATAGTCTATTTTAGGTCTTCTGATGAAGATCTGAATTTAGGAATAACACCTGCAGGACCACACACAACTACTGGACTCGACACAATGAACATGCATGTCTTTGGACTGAGAATTACTGTAGTTAATGGAAAACAAACTTTTTCTAATACCAGTTAACTGAGTTTATTTCTTAGCCAATCACTTGTAATTGACTGGCTTTTTTATCGAAATAAAATAGTTTAATGAAGCTATTAAGCTTCAAGTTGATGGAGAACGGGCATTAATCAACCTTCTATTGACCATGTGGTACCCCGAATGTCAGCACCAGAAACTTAAAGTCCAAGTAACACAGTCATGGAAAGTTGAAAATGTGGTACACATCTCACAGGCAATGAAGATTACAAATACATTTACAATTCTGTAAATACTGTTGATTGCCTGTACTAATTCTTTCAACCACAAGATGGGCCCATTGCCCTTCCAAGAAAATATCTGTCCTGGGGTTTGAGAAAAAGTCAAGTATCTGCACATGGTTACCTCGGAGCATGGTGTGCTGGTGTTTGGCAGTGCAGATTAACCTGCTGATTCCATCAATCACCTGGCTTTTTGAGTCCAGTTCTTTCTCCTTGGGCTTCTTACTGAGGAAAATCACTGTTCACAGGAGAAATGACAAGATCAGAATGATATCTCATAACACCTACGAATCCCCAGGTGGGTTTTTGTGAGGTGGGATGAAAGATTGCAATGAAGAAATCGATACATATTCCCAGCGCCAGGAGAGACAGTCGATGATCACAAAGTACAGTTAAGCACTGTGCTCCATCTCGACACTCGCTTCAAAAATCGAAACCCAGCACTCTGACGTTCGCGCAAATTGCCCCATTCCAGGGCAGCTGCTGCTAAAAGTCACTAACGCGACTGGACAGACAGAGGTGTTGACTGCGCTTCTGTACACAAGGAGGTTTTCAAATAACAATCATGGGCTCTGTCCAGAACCGCAGGAAAGCGAGTCTTGAAAGACACCTTCAAATAAAACATGCTCCAGGCATGTGCTGGACAGGACGTCTGACATTTCGAAGTCAGTAGGAAACAGATTTTAAATCATTATAAGTAAAATTGTTTTTTTTTAAATCAATTACTGAGTGAAAATGTTCACAGGCCTGATGGTTTTAAATAACCAGCAGAAAATGGTTTGTTAAAACATTTTTTTTTGTGGGAACTGAGATACCGTCAAAACGTCACGAACAGGGGGCGCGCCTGTTTGGGCTCCTCAGCCAGTCATGACGTTACGGCTCCCTCCCTGTCATTACAGCACCAGTGCTCCGTGCGCGCCCCGGGACGCCAGCTCACCTTTCTTGTTCTTCTCCTTGGTGACCACGGTCATGGACATGGTGGGCGGGGGGGTGAGCTCTCCGCCGCCGGGGAGGCGGCTGACCTGCAGGGAGCGGAAGTTGCTCTTCAGGGTGTTCTTGATGCCCACGTCCCTCTTCTCCCCATCCTTCTTCTTCTCGGGACCCTGCCACGTCCAGTAGTCCACCTGCAGGCCCATCACCTCGCCCCCTGAGGCCGGAGAGCTGCGCGCCAGAGCAGACACGGGGCACAGAGCAAGGCATTGTGGGACAGGCAGGGCAACCCCTCCATAAGATGTCCCGTGTACTGAGGAGCTTTGTGTTAATACTCTCAGCTTTAAAGTGATCTGATCGTCTTTGAATATACAGTACCTATTACTTTAATATGACTAGAAGACAGAGCAAAACTAAATTCACAATACATCAGAAGCAAGCATAATTTTAGCTCTTTTGCAGCAGATATTTTTAAACACCAGAAGCACCACAGACAGAAATAAGCTGGATAAACACAGGTACTCGAACACACAATGATGGAGAGAGCAGACAATTATTCAGTGCTTGATCTGGATGGGTACGCATGTAGCCAAAAAGCAGGAAACAACAACTCTACAACTGACACCCTTCTCTTTCATTTACTCAGAAACAGCTGAAAATCCTTTACAAGGCAGATGGATCAGCAAAAAAAAAGGAATACAACCCAAACGCTTCTCTTTTAAGAAGAACATAAGTTTTTCAGGAAGCAGTCTGCCCAGGTGCACATGCACATCTGTGCTCATGTACCCAGCTACTGGGGGTGCCAGCGGGCTCCTGCCGGGGGCAGAGACGTACCCAGCTCCGGAGAGGGCGCTGGAGACAGACGGGGAGGGCGGAGGGGTGCCGGCGATCTCCTTCCCGTACGAGCTGCTCGTGGGGGCGGGCGGCGATGCCAGCGTGCTCCCGCTGACCGCCGTGGCATCGTCTGAGTCCACTGGGGGAGGAGGGGAAGATGAACCGATCAATATGGACCCCGACGGCTCTATCGATCACGCAACAAGCTGCGCAGGGGGTCTAATCCTCGAGCCGCGCAAAGCCCAGTTTTCTGTGGGACGATGAAAGCACCTCGATGCGGAAGAGCGCACGCCAGATCACTGAGAGATCTGCTTCCAGGAGTGTTGAGTGTTGAGGGTGATGGACAACTTGATTAAGAAGTTAGTTTGACAAACAGTTATCATCTGAACCAAACAGAAATCCCATTTGCACCTTAAGGAAGTACAAAACCTTTCTGGAGTCCTTCCTTACCTTTTTTCTTTTTGGATAATCTCCTGCATTTCAAAATTATGGCTTAATCAGGACCATGTTTGAGCAGCTTAAAATACCCTTTCCTGCACAAGGCCAGAGCTGCTTAAACACGCTTAAAAATGAGTCTCAAAATGGAAACAGCAGGAGAATATTGCTGATCCACCTTTTAAGATGTTACAATCTCTCTCTGGGTCAAAATAAGTTTCATAAAGGCTTCTCCATTTAAAAAATACAACCAATGTGACTTTCCTAATGTTAAACAGCATCTCTGTGAAATCCAATTCCACAAATGGATTCCTCAACATAAATGCCGGTGACTGTGAAACACTAATACTTGGAGAGAAAAAAAAACATTCTCCCCGTTTCATTTTAAAAAGAAAGATCAGAATCCCCACAGTCATATGCAGTTCCCATAAGAACCCGCTGCGTTATGAAAGCCATTTTAAAACAGCACTGGTGCACAGCAATTTTAAGAGGCTCCCATTCTGTTCATTGTGGGAGATTTTACTGCAGGCGTAGTGATTTACAATTCACATTGATCGGGAACTCTGCACACTGCTCAGCTTTGTTCACAGCCAAATGTATTTATTAACTCAGAATAAATGCTGCTTCACAATGCTGTAGTAACAGTATGACCTGATACAATTCTTTCACGCTATAAAACATATCATTTGAGACAGCACGGTGGATTTTAGATTGATTTATAAACCATGCTTTATCACACTGCATATTATCTGGATGATAATGCATTCATTCAGAAGTAACATTTCAGGTACAGTACCTTATGACAGGACTATCAAATTCTTGGACAGCCTTGTCTCTTCAAGTTTGTTTCAACCTTTGACCAACTCAAAGAAATTAACCCAAATGCTGTATATTCTTACACACATATAAGATTTTTCTTCAGATGAACATTCACCTCATTGAAATGTATAGATTCCTCTATGAAAACACACCAGACCCTGCTTAGAACTGTCACAATTGTGCATTTTTCTTACTTTATTTTATCATGTAAGTCAAGTGACACTCAATTCTCATTGACTGTATGATGAGTACCTGTAATTATTTAACCAATTATTTAAAAAAGCAATATGGAAAGGTGGAAAAAAACAGGTCTTCTAGGAATAGTGGAGTAAGACTTGCCTTCTGAAAATTTGTACTGTACTTGATCTCTAACAAAATGACCAAGGAATTGGTCAGCAAAGTGTGTCTGTTATGGTACAGGAGGAAGACGACAGACATACCTGATGCAGAAAGATTGTGCTCCACAATACCCACTTTGACAACCTGAGGAGAAAACAAAAAAACAAACAGTAAAGCTCAGGAAGACCAGTGGAGTTTTTAACAAGTCTCCCTGATTCAGCACAAAATTTCGATTTCTTGTGGTTTACAAGAACACATGACCTTCTAGATATTTTCTAGAGATTTATACAGACCCTTCTGTGGTTACGCCCAGCTACAGTAGTTATGTTGAATTGGTGTATTTAACCAGCAGGTGCTGTACGTACAGTAGCTGCACCAATCCAGCAACATCCCAAACAGACCAGCTGTATTTATAAGCTCAAGATCAACACTTTTCTCCTCTAGTGATCTCTCAGGGTGACACAAAGCCAAATAACTGACTGTAAACTCTAGGTGCCAGATTTCAGGTTTACTTTTGGAAAAGAATTGCATGCAAAGTACAATATAAGCACAAATGTAGCAGCCTTACCCCAATAAAAGGGATGAATTTCTGACAAGAATCCTCATCAGGGCTAGGAACAGAAAAAAAAAACACATTTTCTAGAAATCATTGATGAGATCAAACCCTTTTTAAAAAAAAAAGGAACTTCAAGCCTGAGATTGAGAAGTCAACATTACTTCTTGAACAGAAGCCGCTGTTACACAGACACCCAGTGGTCCCATAAACACAATGTTTTAATGCAAAAACATCTGTACCGGTCATCTCCGCAGACAGAATGTACAACGGTGAAATGAGCTTGTACATTCAGGTAACACAATGCGATGACTTACTGGGACCAGTCCTTACAACCAGTGAGGCAATGAGTTGTAAGACAATGAAAATGGGAGGAAAACCTAAGGCAATCTGACCACATTTCCATTTTCATTTGATACGAATTGCCATGCTGTTTCTCATTAGTGTGGAAGACCCGCCTGTGCTGGTATGGTAGAAGACTACAGTAGCACACTGCAGTGGCCTTAGGCCAGACTCCTGGCAGCTCTGACTGCGCATTCTACTAAACTGCACACGAGGTGGCCAATCACAATGCTGAAATATCTGGGCCCATCAGAACAAGGGCTCAGTGGGCAAGCTTCACACACATGTACAGCAGTTAAGCCTTTTCAATTAAGACTTTCAGATATTCAGCTTTTTGCTGTGCTGCTTTGTCCCTCCAGTGCCTCAGTGTGTTTTTTCTTGTGCCGAGAGCAAAGTCCACGAACAGCATTTGCACCCGAAAGCAGCCATTGAGTCCACATTTGGACCAAACGGCTTGGTGATGACAAGGTCTGCTGATTAAGGCTAAATCATTGCTTTGCTCGTTTGTATAGGAAAAGGCTAACCACCTTTTTTTCCACAGCACACAATAAGGACGGGCTGTGTACAGTCTTTAACCCATCTGACGTTCAGCCCGTCTGCCCCTCCTGTGTATAAGGCCAGCAGTCTTCAAAAGCTGCATCACAATCTTAAGAGTGTGGATAACAGACTTGGGAAGGGAGCTGGAGGGAAATGGTCCCAAAACCAAGGATGGAAAACCACCAAATTTTCCGAAAGGAGTCAGTGGGTTTTCCTACTTTTTTCAATTTGATTTAAAACATGCAGTTCTGGCTCCTATTGATGTGCTGCGCTGCTCTGAGAAAACCGATGCTGTGAACGTGCTGAGCACCAATATCTTCACTCCCAATACTCTGAGGGATAAGACCGCTTCAATTCACTTGCCTGACACTAACGAGACAGCTTTACAACCTGAGCTGATTAAACAAGCTTAGATTCTACAAACACAACCTCAAAATGAATACCATCTCAACAATCACTCATTTAAAGCCATCCTCTCTATAATACATTAATAGACACTTAACATTTTGTCTAGTTTGATGTTTGATATCTCTGTATTTGCTAGTGATAATATACTGAGCACCAAAAGAACTTACAACTGCAGTAAATTCACACAATTATCAGGAATTATTTTTGGGTGCACTGACATTTTATTGAACAGACATGGTATACATATATTCACTGCATTTATTCACATTAATCATCAACAGGCTAGAACAACAGTGGGTCTGATGTAAGAAGGACAGGCTAGTAGAGGATATGCAGCTGGTACAAGCTGGACTCGTCATCCTGTAGGATTCTGTCCCATTTCTCTCATAGACCCCAGACCTGTCCACTGGTCTATAAGCCCTAGATGTTGTTTCATCTCACCTACGTTCAATGGGGGCTCAAGCCTGGTGAACAGGGCACCCAGGGTGTCACTGTCGCATTCCCATCTTGCATAAAGTCACTCTTACTTAAGGAGGTGCACTATCCTGCTGAAATGTTGTCACGTGAGGGTGAGCCCACATGAGGGAGGTCTACAAGATCTCATCAATTCAGCGCCGTGCAGTCTGTGTGCCATCAATCACTGCACATGGAATTCTGTAATGAGCAGACACCGAGACCCAGACCACCAATTGAACCGCCGTGCTCAACAATCACTGTATTGTCCTCCAGATCTGCGCCACACTCGCTGATGTCCATCAGGGTGGGCTACAAGAAAGCTGCAACCATTGCTCTAGAGGACCTGGCTCGAATGCTGGAGCTCCGACGTACCAATGGCACCAAGGTGTTGCTCTAATGATACATTTGGTATATTGTGGGTTTTATTTTTTTCCATCTTGATTTTCACCAGGGTTGACATTCAACAAGTTAAATCACAAGTCATCACCAGTGCTCTTTCAACTCTTTCAATAATGGAACAGTCCAAGTCACTGAAGTGTTTTCTAAATATCCAAAAATCCTATACGTTATTTGTAGTAAAACAATTACATGCATGTAGTGATAAACTGTACTTCTTATGATGCTCAGTATACTGTATATTTAACCTAATCAACATATGGAAAAACCAGAGGACTACTTCAATTCTAAACTCTTTCTTTAAATCAATTATTGCCATTGGAATATAATGGCAGTGTGATATTACCCAGCATAAACTCACATTTTTGAAGAGCGTACTTATGCCTCACAATGAAATTATATTATAATAAAATATCTACCATTGTCGGGTCAGTTAAGTATCAGTCAACACTTAATAGCGTTTGGACTTCTGAGAAACAAAAATTAATAGAGAATGAATTATCTTAAGAGCTGCTTTAATAAAGGAAAAATGAAGGGATCACAATTTCTACCACATATTTTGAATAGTTATCTAGCTGACCTTCAATCAGAAATAAGGATCAAACTGATTGGGACAGAGGGGCAGAAACGTGGGTTTTCATCGGTGACCTCAGGCACTATATCAAGGCAAAACATGGCACACTCACACGGCTGGAACAACACCCCCAAAACAAATCACACAAAAGTCAAACCAAAGCGCATGAGAGGGTCAGGTCACACCGCAAAGCGAGTGTCAAAAAAAAAAAAAGAAAACGCTGTGGAGAAGAAGTGGTGGTGGGGAGGGGGGTTCAAACGAAAATCACAATGAGATACCTGATATAAAAATCAAAATACAAACTTCTTTTCCTTGAATGCAAACAACAAAAAAAGGGAAAAATCAAGCTGTAAAGTTGTTGTATTGTCACCTTAAAAAATAACTTGGGATTAAAAAAAAAGTTATTGAATTCTTGAATGGAGTAAATAAGATAAAAAGTATACATTTCCATTGGGAAAAAATATATACTATTGTCTCGTCATAAAAATCCACCTGATGCTACTGGAAAAATGTTTAAGGCTGGCCTTCCATAACATATTAAGTGGCTAAGGTATTACGTTAATGGTGATTAAGTTAACTACTCATCAATGTTAGAAAGCTTTCCTCATTAATCACGTTTTTAATTTTGTAACATTCTTGACACATGTAACAAACCCTTGCAAATCAGACTCAGTTCCATAGGCCTGCGGTGTAAAAAAGAGCTACGGAAAACAAAATAAAACTCATCTTTATCCCAAATCATGTGATCTTTTTTAACTGCTGCTTAATTTACCATGAGAAAAACACACACATATATACATATTGTGGACTTAAACTTGATAAAAAGTTAGAGTCATACATCTACAGCGAAACACAAGTCAACAACAACAAGGCAGTTGGGCTGCAGTACAGATGACAGAAGAAATTAGAAGACGATAAGATATAAAATGCAGCTACGAATTTGTCCCCCTCCAAGGGTTTTTGAGTGGGAGGCTGGCGAGGGCAAAGCAATCGAGCTCAGAGTCATTCTCCGCGACGCAGCAGGCTCGCGCTGTGAATACGCGCAATCACCATGGCGACCGCCTTACCTCTTCTGCTTGTAGGTGAGCATGGCTTCCGAGATGGGGAACTGATGGGACACGTTAGCCCCAGCTAAGTACTGGCTGATGCGTCCTGCCACATCGATACTTTCTAGAGAGTAATAACACGGGTTTCAGTCCAGCAACACAACACTGTGCATCACTCCCTGCACATCTCCCTGTGCGGCCTGCCATCTCGCAGACAAGACGGGGGCCAGAGTTAAAAGAAGGCAAGAAGGCACAAATCTATTTCAAAATACCAAGAGACCATCCTCTGCTTGCAGCCGGGGGAGGGGGGAGCTGACAATCACAGCACAGATGGTTTCCATAAAGCAGAATGGGTCAGGATAATAATAATAATAGCTCCTTACACTAATATAGTGCTTTTCTGGACACTCCACTCAGAGCGCTATACATGTAATGGGGATCCCCCCCACCACCACCAATGTGCAGCACACTTCATGCACGGAGGAATTAGATATAAATAGATACTTTGTAGAGTTTGGTGCTGGGCATGTTTAAAGCCCGCAAGCACATGAATCACGCTTAGAATCATGAACTAAACGGATCCATTCATCGCAGTCTTGCGTGCCCTCCTGCAGAGCCGGGCATTATCCTGTGGCTTTGTTACAGCTGGCACATGCAAACGTGACAGGGGCCCAGTGCACTGAGCCAGTTACATACGTGATGCCACCCCCCCTCCACTGAAATCTAGACAGTGTGAACACTGTGCCGCGGCAGAAGACCCGGCCTTCCGGCTTGGCGCCTGGAGCCTGCGAGCGAAACTGGGATCGAATCCAGGCAGCAGGAGCAGGGGGAGCTGCACTGATCAAAGACACACTGGACACAACCACTACAGCCGCTGTACTACCTACATCACGTGGTGCGTTAACCGGGAGACCCACCTTTCTCCGTGTCTTTCTCCTCACCTGAGGCTGGGGGCTCCGTCCTGCCGAAGAAGACCTCCCGCCACGCCGTGTCCATGAAGATGCTGTTGAATTTGCTGTCGAGCGACGCCACGTATTTCGCTAAAGGGTGCGAGCCTGAACGGTAGAACAAAACAAACTGTGTGAGTAGAATTTTTTTTTAAAAGGCCCAACGGTAAAGTAGCTCATTATGACAAATAATTGAGAGCTCTGAAGCATATTCTTTGCAGAGGAGGATTTAATAAATTAATCGCTAAAGGCTTCACTGGCAGGGCAACAGTGAGTGAATGTCCTTCTTCAGGTCCTCTTTGGTTCTCTGATTTCAATGTGGCAATACCTATTAAAACTTCACTTCTTTTTGGCATTTACTAAAATAACCTAAAAACCGCCAATGGATATTTTTGCCGATTTAAAAACTCTGTGCACGTCTCACAAGCACTCGTGAACAACAGGCTGGCCACACGGGCGCAAAGCTGGCGTGAAACCGTCCGCGGGCCGAAAAGTTCTCTTTGGACGACGTCAAACAGAACTTGCAAGAAATAGTCAGCCTCACCAGCCTCACCGATGGGGATCACGAGAAACCGGATGTAGTTCAGCCAGTCGGGAGTCTTGTTGGCCAGCTGTTCCACGAAGAACCTCAAGATGGTGCTGAGGTAGCTCTGGTCTCCAGCCACGGCCACCTTGATTGTCGGGGGCATCTGGGAGTTACAGTTGCAGCTGCAAGCACAGGAGGCCATGACAGCTGTGTCTGTCTGCCACAGCGGGCAGCACAAGGGCGGCTGTCTTTCTGTGGTCGGGGTGCTCCGATCCAGACGATCGCAGATACAGTTACAAGCCATGACAAAGCAACCAGTCTCACAGGCTTGACACACATTTGCACTAACACAGGCAGTCGAGCCTTCTTAAGAACAGTACTGGCCCATCACTGGCCTTAAAATCAATCAAACATCACAGAAAAATGGATAAGAAAACCCTATTTCTTATGTAAGGATCATTCTGCACCTTGATTTAAAATGCTAATAAAATATTGGATATTTATACTCTACAAATATATACATTGTAGTATTTATATACTGTTTATACAATATATGTGTCCAAGTCATAAAAAAGAAACTCTTTCCAAAGTATACAAATTGTGAGCAACAGCCAAATTTAGGCAACAAAATAAAAATCTGCTTACCACTTACTGGAATGAAAACACTAGCGTTCCAAACTGGGAACTGGCAGCTTCAATGGTTTATTTTAAATCAAGGTCGACCCTTGCCGTTTCATTCTAAGCAGTGGTACACAGTGCAGACTGAGGCGAGCTATGGAGACGAGTTAACATCGGGTCTGGTGTACTCACAATCGCTGGATCCTGGTGACTATCGTGTTAAATGCAGCCTGCACGTCGGCAGCAGAGCACGTGGACACAATGGGCTGATTCTGCTCGTGAAGAATCTCGGACAGATACTGCAAGGGAGAGGCCGAAGAAAACTGAAGTAAGAGGGCTTGTCAAGAGAGGCAGCTGTTTCCTGCAGCAAGGGCCTGACGCGTGTGTCAGCCTGCGGGGTGACATAGCAGGTCCAGAAGACTCCTGTTCACAGAAGAACAGCAGGAAACATCACGCAGTTCACGCTGGAAGCAAACTTACTTGTCGTACGAAAGATCAAAGTGAAGCTTTTACGCATATCAAATTGGTATATGTTAAAGCAACGATGACTGCAAATGCTCACTTTTCAAATCCAAATAAAAACGTAGAGTAAATAGTATTTACAGCACTTTTAAACCATATCAAACTATATTTGACTACCAATACTGATCTTGAACCACATTTCACTGTGCAGAAGACAAGACTTCATGTAAATGCATTCATGTGCCCTTAGCTATCAAAAAGGCAACTATAATAATGTGGACATGAGAAGCCTTAACATTGTAGCACCAAGGCCATAGCCAGAGGCCTACAATTAGTTATGCCAGGAAGATTATAATAATCATCACAACCAATCTCTATCTATAATGATGTAACTTAAAAGCTGTTGCACTTTACTCCATGATTGCTTTCCAAGGTCCCGGCAGCTTGACAACAAAGTAACCAGGTGACAGTGACCATCATTGTCTATGCCGAAGTGCGAAAGCAAAAGAGCTTCACTGAAAGGAACTGCTGGGTTGAGAGAGAGAGACCCTATGTGAAACAGAATTTGCCCACAACATCCTCAGTTAGTAGTTTTGTGTCACTCCCAGCTGAAGTTTTCCCTGATCTCTGAAGTAGTACAGCGGGATATTTGCTCAGTGACCTGAATATCAACACAAATTCAGAGTGGCATCTAATAAGTACGGGTGAGAGGACTTTCCCATGTTTCTCACCAACCAAGTCTCAACCTACAGCCAGGTTCGCAAATCCTGCGATTATTCTCTCCTAGGCTATTTGACTTAAGCAAACCGAAATCTTCCCTCTCCCTGTGTGAATGTGATATTTTCTCGTACCCTTTAAGTTTATGAACGTTAATATTAGTTTTGAGACTAATTCCACGGGGTTAAGTAACACTCACTGAGCATTAGTTACCATATTTAACCCTGTGTTAGACTGCTATTGTAATATGAATCCTTGGCCAGCCATCTGTATGCTATCTGATCTATATACTGTATATTTGGATGCATTGCCACATTTTATCATTATGTTAATAAGATTGTGCCTATTATTCTTTGAACCTATGCATGCACGTCTTTCTGTTCAGTCGATTCCTAGGAGCCATAAAAGTACTCCGAATGTCCTGATCCACTTTCTCATTGTCTGTGCAAAGCCACACCATCATCGATCAGTTCGATTTACGGGACGCCTCTCCAGGGCGAGAATGCTCTTGTTAACACCAGGGCAGCACCATGCATTAGTATGGTGTGCGCGGTGTCAGAGAGCCCCCCACCCCCGTTTGTGCCCGTCTAGAGCACAGCCTTGTGGCGTCATGGGTGCCCGCTGTCACTCTGAGCTCTGCTGCTCGGTGCAGACTGTCGCCAGCCCAGCCCAGTCAGGGGTACTGACCCACCTGGCCCTGCCAGTCTGTGGTGTTGATGAGGATGATGCTCTCCGGCAGCTGCTCGTCCGAGATCAGGATCTGGTTCAGCTGGTCGTAGACCGACTTCCGCGGGACCTGCGCAAACAGGGAGAAGGCGGGAAGAGCCGGGGACGGGCTGGGTCGGCACACGGTGGTGGGGGCTCCCCACGCCATGGCTCGGGGCAGCCGGAGCCTTGGGGAACTGGTCCATCAGAACAGCGCCGCTCATTTCGTCATCATTGCGAGGTCAAGCAAAGCAAGAACGGACCTGATTCTACGGGCTGACTTCACACGTTCGCTTCAAAGCAAAGCATGGATGTGGTTTAATGGCCTTACTGAGCCAACTCAACAAGCTGCATGCTGTAACTGTGCTGCAGTGCCGAATGCTGAAAGCGTCCGCACACCCACAGTACTTGCTGTGTGTCCCACCTTGGAGTACCTTCGTGCATGCAGCTTGTATGTCCTTACTACCTGACATTTCTTTATTTTTTATATTAAAATAGTGGAAATGTCCCATTTGTGGTCATGCTGTAATTTGCTGAGAGCTCTTTTACCAGGCCTTTTATGAATTAAATCACAACAGCAATACTCAATACAGCAACTACCAAGTCCTCCTTATCATTCTGTGCGCGTTTTGCTTTGTTGTAAGCCCATACTTGAGAAGAAACAGAGATTTGAACTGTGATTCATACAGACATCACAGTCCGCAGGGAGAAGGTCAGCACACAGAGCAGTAATGTCTCCCTCAGCGCGTGTAGAAAGGCACTGTGATTTAAATTTCCTATCACACAACACAAATAGGTAAAACATTTAGGACAAAAAATAAAATGATATGCTCTAACATTAAACCGAACAAAAATTCAATATCAATTAAAAATGAGTCTTATTGTAAAAAAAAAAAATGTTTTTAATTTAGATTCGATTATCTGATTTTCATTTTAGTGACCAGACAAACGTCATGTTAAGGATGGAGGTTTAACTCCATCATCTCTTAGAGGACCATTACACTGCTTTGCTTACACTACAAAAAAAACACATCAATTTGTTCCACCAACAACAAAGAACACTGACCACAGTATGTGATTGAGCAGTGCGATGAGTTCTCATGCAGTCTCTCTACACCTTCTTTTCCCCAAACATAGGATGTAAGTGAAAACCCAAATTCCCTAACCCGTTAAGCGAGCCTCTGAAAGCCTCCTTGCCTCGTCTTTATAGAGCCCTACCTGTGCAGTGAGCCGCGAGTCCGGAGAGCTCTCGCTGTCCATGCTGCTCGTCCGGTCACTCTGCGCCTTGGAGTTCTGCCGGTCTTTCATCGAAGTGCTCCGGGGACGTCTGTGGGGCTTGCTCTCCACTTTGCTGCAAGGTTTAAAAGTAAAAAAAAAAAAGAGGACAAAAAAATCCCCCCTTTTAGTCCGTTTTGCAGAGTACTGCCTTCAGCAAAGCCACAGCCCTTTCTTCCACAAAACGCAGTAACTAGTACCCCAAAATGAATACACAACTCCGTTGTCACTGCAGGCAGTCGGTTATGGTTTTCACCTGGTTTAACACATCACTTAGTAAGTTTTTGCACTCCACTTTAGTGCAGTGGAGTGGAAGCCTGTCTGAGGCATTCAAACCCAAAGGCAATGAATATTTAGCAGCCGGAAAAGCACAGATAAAAAGGTCAAGAAGGTGAGTCAAATAAAGAACTGACCATTTTTATACAAGCTTACGTAATATCAAAGAAGCAAAGGGGGAACAGCGGAAAAATGTTACCTGGGTGACATGTGATTCTGCGACTCCGTTTTGGTGAGCTTCCCGATGGAACAGGCCAGTTTATCCGTGTTGGTGTCCCATGAATTTCCGGCATCTCCGACTGTCAGATCCTCCTCCTCAGCTCCCTGTGGGAACAGAGGAAAGGCCAGACTGAACTGCTGTAAAAAACGCGATCCAAAGCTATCAAAGCCAAGGAAAAAAAAAGCAGACCTTTAAGACAGACTATGATGGCTATGAAATTAAACACACACCCTTGTACAAGGATTGTATATTTCCTGTTAATATGCGATTCAAATTTGCTTAGAAGTATGTCCAGTAAGTGACCTATAGTAACAGAATATCAGTTCAAAATCACAAGCTTCAATATGATATACAATATCACAGATATTTTTTTTTAAGTGGCAGTTTATCTTGTATTGAGATAAAAGATGTACTGATTCCCCAAAGGCTGCTTCACAAAACAGATAGGGAAGATTTCACTGATTTAACAAAAAACAGCCTTTGTAAAGTGTTCCAAATGAAAACTGTGCTCATACTCATCTGGGCAATTAATATTGTTTTTTACTTATTCATGCAACAAAAAGTGGGGTTTTACTTTCTCTCAAAAAGCCCCTCAGCTGAGAATGTTTTTTATATAAAGTCAGGACTCGGGAGAGCAAACTTCAGTGAGCTGAGATTGTGAAACCCAGATCTGAGGTAGAGCAGGCCTTGCCTGCAGGGTCTTGGGTAACAGACAACAGGAAACTCACCCCAGGTGTGGCCTCCACTATGACATCATCCTGGTACCTGGAGCCAGGCACTTTGCTCTTTTCTGAGGGAAGGAATTCCCCACCCTACCAGAGGAGAAAGGAAATGTCTAAAGACAGTCAGGAAGAGAAAGGCTATTTTGAGAGGAGCATCTAAATAACAAAACAACACACAGCACACATTCCTGTCATATCCAAGTCAGTGACAGATAGAGAGCTTTTTCAATAAATGAAAAGCCTACATTAAAGTAATTGGTAATAGACTGTTTCCACTGGCTAAGGTGTATTTTCCCAAAAAATGAAGAATGTTAAAGAGAGCATTCTTTCACAAACTTTAATAGCACAAGATTTCCTAAGCAAATACCCCATTATTCTCCCCGCTGATCTTGGTTACAGTTACAAATCTGGTCACAGACAAGCTGAAAAGTCAGCATTGTGATTTTGTCTTTTCGCAAACTGTGAATGACTCTTTCAGATGTAATACTGGGACAATCCTCCCATACGGCTATTCCCGATTCAAATAGCCAGACATCTTACGTGCACATGTAAATATAAGCAAAGTAAAATGCGTGCCTTGTGCTTCCCAAAGCTCTTTAAATATGCAGTGCTGGATAGTAAACATTTCTGGGAGTGCACGAGCTTATCTGATGACTGTCAGCTTGCGATGTCAGTTCTAAAAATACTAAAAATATGGTTTTGCAGCATCAGAGCTCACCAGCAATAGTGAGAACTCAGCTCTGTGCTTTCGGACATCAATCTTGTTGATGCACAAAAAAGCCTCATACCAAACGTAAACCTTTTAAAGTAAATTAAACGCTTATACCACCTCCGACACCTGCTGACTGCTTTCTCGATCTGATGGGCTGCTCCATTTTACACAAGCCTTTGAGTAATCAGTGGTTCCTTTTGCTTGTGCGCACTTGCATGAGTTGTAAAACCAAAGCTGCCGTGAAACACTTAAGCTAAGTCACAGTGAGAAAGATGCATTTTTGAGAACGATCGCTCATATATTCTGAAATGTGCAAGTAACTGTACAGCACATGGCGGCATTATTCAATTTAAGATGCAAAAGATATTTTAGGTTGCTAAGTGCGCACATGCTCTGGATATTTAGACTAAAATAAGCACATTAACACAACCCCTTTCAATTAAAAGTGTGGCAGTTTATTATGGCATTTCAGAAACAGCAAAAATACAGACCTTGAACACTAGTGGGTCTATTCAGAGCACAACAAACCCATGGTGGCAAAACAACTGATTTGGAGATCCCTATGGAAGGCTCAGTGGATCAAATGACTTTACCTGAAAAAGACCTTTCTGTGTCCGATGGATAATGGTTTATACCTTTGCCCTTGTTCTTTTTTTACTCATTTACAACAGACTGAAAACCCACATCAAGTCTGTACTTTGTTGTGAGGTACTGTCATAATCGCTGTGGATGATCACTCTTGACATTAAAGATTAAAAAAAATCTATATTGTAAATGAATATTTTTGTCACTAAGCTTATTTGTTGCTCCAAATGTTTTTGTTTGCAGTTGTTTGCAAGACATGCAGTTCCAACTGTCATCAATTCTTGTTTCACAACTCTTTTCTTCCCATTTTGTTAACCTGCCTTATTTCATAAAAAGTCCAAAAGCATTCTGAAGACGTGACTGTAAATAACATGAAAACTTCTACACTAGGATTTTGATTTACAAAAATAAACCGCTAGAGTAAAAATCCTAGTCATCAGTGACTGTCGGGTATTGCACATTTCTTTTGACTTTTTTTCTTGCATACTGCAATGCAGACCTTTATCTAGAAACAAGGTGTGAAAAAAAAACCGTGTAGGGAATTGGGATTGAAAACGCCTGGTTGAATCTGCAACGCAAGGAAACCGAACTGTGCCAGGGATAAGAAAAGAAGAAGGTCAAATTCAATATGCTGAGGGTGTCCATTCCACCAGACCAGGGTGTTTAACCAGCTCTGCCTGTGGGCTGCACACACACCCTCGTCACAGACGGAGCAAACATCAGCGCTGACAGCGAGAGAGCGCTGGCCCCATGGCGCGGCCTGGCTGGAATGATTAGAACTAATCTCAATCAGAGAAGTTGTATAAGAGGACGTGCCCTGTGCAATTTACACTTCAGTAAACGTGTGCTTCTAGAAAGATCCGCTGCTCGGCTGGCCTCGATCGCCACACAGGTATACGGCGAACAATGAAGGAGCTCAGGCACGGCGATGCTGCGTGGTCCTCGTCTAAGTCTTTAGTCATTTTGACTGAAACCCCATAATACACACTGTGGATGCCTGGGAGATGTGGTGTTGTTTTGTGCTGTGATCGCTTCAGGGCTTCTGTCCCCTGTGGGGCTGGGGTTTACATCAAGGAAAATAAAAGAACTGTTCACAAAGAAAAAACAACCAGGAAACGTCCACTTTTGAATGTTTTTTTATGGTTTCTGGGTAAAAAAGGGGAAATCATCTCATCAGGAGAAGCTCAGTGAGAACAAAACGGAGCCCATGATTTCAGAGAGGCCTGTTCTGGGGTCCCCATCCTGGCCCAGGACACCCACAAACCTACTGGTTTTCCATCTCTGCCAAGATTAATTACTTAACCGAAGCCTTAATTAAACTAATAAGCAGGCTTGATAGGAACATTAGAAAAAAAAACGTGCAACTCAAAGGACTGCAATTCGGGTCACGCATGAAATGTACAAGTTGAAAGGCGACCTCGCGACGCGTTCAACTTCATCGCAAGAAGTCAATGAAGGGGTTCGGGTGTTTAACTGCGAACAGAACCCAGCAGGTATGTGGATCAGCAGGATCAATACAGGGCACTCCTAGTCCTGAGAGGCTCCACAGAACCCAGCACAGGCTGAAGGAGGGAAAACTCACAGGACTGGTGTGGTCTCTCGGCTGGCTTTTCTGGCTGTGGAGACTCCCAATCTCTGTCTGGGAACTGGAGTGTGACATCCCTTCGAAAAATGGCCTAAAAAAAAAAACTTCATTTTAATCTTTACCTGAGGATTTCCATTATCCGTATGATGTACACAATTCAGTATATTACAGCAGCTATGATTACTATTGGGAATATTTTACTTTCCTAGAAATATCTGAATTACTTCATTCATTTCACATCTTTGCCGCTGGGGGTCAAAGGTTCAATATTATAACAGTTTTTATTAATGGGTCTTGAGCAATTGGAAGGAGGAGAGACATGATTAAGGGACTACAGCTTTGTTTTTCGTTTTTCACACATTTAAATGTTCAGTATTGTACAGATTTGGATACCAATCAAAACCGGGAGCAAACAGAGCCAGAAGTGTTTTGGGAATTTTCCTTGAACAGAACAGTGTGAATGGTGTGACACAGTAAGGATCGAGATCAATCTCGCATTTCTTTGAACAGGGGTTGTCAATCCTGAACTTTGAGCCCCCTGAACCAGCTCCTCAAATTCCCAAATGTATAATGATCAGAAAAAGGAGTCAAAATGGTGCAGTATTCAAAATGATTTGTTCACATGTGTATAAGACTGCAGCCTTCGACTACAGAATGGGATGGAAGACAATGGAATGCCTTCCATTCCAGGCCAGCAAGGAAATGGCGTACTTGAGTTTCGGTTTGGGAGTACTGAGAACGCTCTCGTTGTCCTCCATTTCTGGCCCGCTGTCGCTAGGGTTGTACACTTCCAGGCTGTCGTACAGCAAGTCCAAATCCTCCTCCACCTCCTGTGTCTGGTCCACCGGATCAGAATCCAGGACCTACCGACACGAACAGGCATGCAAAACGCAATTAATCTACTGAGTGGGAGCTGAAAGAGGTTCATCATCAGAATCCAGTCCATTTCACACCTAATCTAAGAACCACAGTCCTTAAGGATTCATGGAACTTTTCAAATTTACCCCCCCCCCCCCGAAAAAACATTTCAGCCACTACTGCATGTTTGAGATGATACGGTGGTGTAATCCAATGTCACATTGCACCACTTTCTCCCGCTGGTTCTCAGAGCAATCACAGAACAGGATCCTTTAATATTAAAGGGAAAAAAATGGTTCATTGACATTCCTGTGAAGGTTTCCATCCTGACTCACTTTGTTGTATGCAATTTCCTCAGCTTTTTAACCGAGGAGTGCTGGAGTTCGCTAAAGCCAGAAAAGCTATTTTCTCTCTGTGCTGAAAGTAAAGTCCTGAGTTACACATGAGCTACTCATTAAAATACACCCATTGCAATCCATGGAGGATTGATTTAGGCCCCGTCTTGCTATTAATTAACACATATGCTGCACAGCTGTTGGTTTGAGGATATGCATCTCAGTTCCTTTAATGAAACATTTTCCAATAATCAGTCTATTTTTCAAGCCCTGAAATAGCCCTGCCCTCAAACCCTGTGCTGCTGGATCAGAAATCTGAAAGCAACACTGTCTGGAGACTAATCACAAAAAACAAATATGCTTAATGTGTTTAGGTTTAATATTTTCCTTTAAAGAACAGAAATGAGGAATGCAGCATCAAGGTTTAACTGAAACACATCTCAAGTAAAGAATATAATTGAGCCCAGATCTTTGACACAGAAATATGGTTTTGCTTCATTGTTATTTTTTCCACAGAGAAAACCTACAATGCAGCAACCTGAACCTAAAATTTAAAGTCAGTAAAACGGCTCCCTTATATAAGTCTAAGTTACTGCACTGCCTCAATACAACACAAAAACAAAGACGATCAGCAGAGCTGGGACCCAGCAGTGATTCTGTGCTCTTTAATTCAACTGAGCTTTGCTCATCACATAATTACAGCCAACACTGCAGATACAAAAGAGCTCTGTATTTGAGAAGGTGCTTGTGAGAAATTTATGATGACAAATCAAAAGACTTATTTGAATCAGGAGGCTACTGATGCACCTCATCTAAAAACTCACGTGGGGATATAAATTGGGAACGTTTACTGTACAGGTAGAATAATTATTTGATTAAGGCTTAAACATGGCAAAAAAAAGGTAACTTTCCAGAATCTGAACTGATGTCAATAAACAGGAATTCAGGATGCAGGCCCTTAATGAAGGCATGGCCAACGAGTTCATTTACGGTTTGAAAAGCCCAAGGGTGTCCCATGCTGCTCTGGCAAGACAAATGAACGCAAAAAGGGTGTGCTTCAAGCATGGCAAAGTGTCTTTAGTCCATTTGCATAAAGTAGTATCTTTTTAGCTGAATGTTGACCCCTCCCACCTCAACAGGGGTGATTATTTTTAGGGACTTCAAAATATATTTATTTCTGAGCCGAGGGTTCTGGCTTTAGAAATAATAGCTCACATATTCGGTTGAGAATGCCCTGTGACGAGGTACAGGAGTCTGATCTATTTGGTCCTGTATCTTTGCTGACGCTTGACAGGGTGAAAATTGTATGTTTGGCAAATGGGAGTATGAAAATGGGTATATCAAGATTGCTATCTTTTAATATACCTGCCAAGGACAGGGGCTGTGACACAGATTATCCTCTGAATTTCTCCCATCTCCCCAGCTGACATTTATACCTGATAAATGTTATTTCACCTGTGAATGTCAAGGCAGCAGGAAATTCCAGGAGGGCTGGTGATGGAGGAGTGAAACATTACATTACTTGCCAAGAAAAAAGGATTTCTGAGCAGTGCTAAATGTGGCCTTCTCCAGCCATCCATCTTCTAAGTGCTTTAATTGATACAGGGTCACAGAGGAGCAGGTACCCGTCCCAGCAAGGAACGGGCACAAGACAGGATACCCTGGACAGGATGCCAGACTATTGAGGGGCACACAGGTACACTCACAGCAGGTCCAGTCTGCCCAAAAGCCAGTTAACCTAGCAGAATGTTTTTGGACTGTGAGAGGAAACTGGATCACCAGGAGGAAACCAGTGCAAACTTGGGAAAAAAACATGCGATCTCCATACAGACAGCATCCCAGGAATTGAACCCAGCGCTACGAAGCAGCACCTGGCGTGCCACTCCATTATCCTCTATCTTTGTTTTCAAACCTGTACTTCAGAATCCCAGGTCTGGGATTGAACCCAGGCAGCAGTGCTAAAAGAGAATGTCACCACTCTTCAAATGGTTACGTACACTTCACCCCCTGCTGCAGGCAAAGCACAAAACCTGCAGTCCTTCCCATTTTTCCAGGACTTGACTTGCTTGGCTTTCATCCCCGCCAGACCTTCAAATAAAGTCACGCTGATTAAATCAACTGATCAGAAAGCCTGGAATGTTTTTCGGACTTCGGGCTGCTCTCCTGGACACTGAAGCCGTACGCTCCAAAGGAGCGGGACTTCCCCGAAACCGTGGTGACCAGCCCTGGCCTACGCGAGCAGGCCCCGCCCGGCGGCGGCGTGAGGGTACAAGGGTGAGAACCGAGCACTGGTTTGCGACGAGAGGCTCTGGGTAACCGCTCCAGAAGAGCTCTGTGCTGTTTTCAGACGGTTACGGAACAGCCCTGAGGAGCCCAGGAGCGTCCCTGGCCAAGTTCCTCCAGCCTCTGTCACGCCCTGACAGACCTCAGATAACCCGTTTTTATTTCCATCCTTTCCTTCTGGCCAGTAGGGTAATGCAATTACGACGCAAAGCTCTGTTTCCAATGGAGCCAGCGAAGGCCTTGAAAGACTCGATGGGAGAGAGCCAATGGACTTACTGTAATTAGATTAGCTAGCGCAGGGAGAACAGACGTTTTGTTTGGTTTTTGACAGCTGCATTTACACGTGCTTACAGTAAAACAACATGGATAAAACCGTTACGCCTGGAAGCATTTTCTCCTTCACTCGCAACATACATTCAATCAAGTTCAAGGGTGATATGTCAAGAGTGAATTACTACCGATTTTATTTCATAGTCCCTGTGGGCCTTTAATAAATGCTGCTTTTTACAGCTGAGTGAGCTTGTGCCACTCGTATGCTCTTGCGAACGTGTGTGAAGGGGTTTTGAAAGCGTAATAAAAACGTTTACCTGGAAAGACCTGCTGCAGGATTGAATGGTCTCCTGCCTCCCCTGGTATGATCTTATCCTGAGACCTTACCATCTGTAACCGGCTGAATCCTGCCTCCAACTTTACAGAATTCACTCACCTCATCGGTCACTTTAAACCTCTTCAACAAAGCCACAAACTTCTGTTTAAAATTGGGTTGCTGTCGAGAAAAAAAGAGAAGAGAAGATGCTATATTGCTGATTTTTTGCATTAGGTGGTCTTTGATTTTTAAAAGATCATGACACTGCTGGGCTTCTGTAAAGAAGCACATCAGCTTTGGTAACAATATACATATATATTCTCAATGCTCTAAGGATTGCATCATACTCACTTTCTGCCACTTCAGAATACAGAAACAGAATTAAACTAATTATGCATTGTAATTCATACTCTTCGCTTCAAAACACAAGGATGAACACTTTCCATACGCTGGAAGACTTAAATGGTTCTTTATTTTGTTCAAGCATGCGTGATACTAAAAAGCAGAAGAACAAGTCATTTGTCAGCTGTAGTTAAAAAAACAAGATAACACCTCCAGTTAAAAGACATTTACTGTCTGCACAGAGCACAGAGTGTGTTAACTAATCTATATATGAGTGTGTCCTAAATTAAGTAATTTTACACCAACAAACACCCACATTCACCCTGAATGCATTATGTGTACAGCATCCATGCAGAATTTAATTGAATTTCTAAGCCTGGAATTCTGTAAAATATTAACGTTCTTGTTATCAGTTAGTCATCAGGCACAGGTGTTATTAATAGCAGTGAAAGACAATTTAAGGCAAACCTAGAACTCTAAAATAACAAGATCTGCTTGATCAGGCTGCCCCTAAGCGTGACTGTGAAGAGTGACAGACAGATTTATTTTTGGCTTTTGTGCATTAGAGATAAAAGAGCCTTTTCAAAGAAGGGTGTCTCGTTCATTCCTCCTTTGTATGTCGCCCCAAGATAAAGGCGCCTGCAAAGCAAATGAGAGTAGTGACCAGAAACAAAGTGCACAGCACTTTTTTTACAAGAACCTATATCGTCGCCAAAGCTCCCAGAGGGAAAGTATTAACTTGGAGTGTCACCCTTTAGATGTCTGCATCTAAAGATCCCTTAACCGAGCAAATGCCCCTCACCCTTGTCATGGAAGTAGTTCTGGTCATTTTCCTCCTAGACTTCTTGGGCTTTCTGACTTCGTCGTCTTCATCATACAGGTCCTGAAAACATAAATCCACAGGCTACTGTACATTATGCGCAAAAAACAAACTAAAAGCTTAGTCCAACACGAGGAATCTGTGTTCTCAAAGCCATCTACCCTTAATTTGAACGGCAGTGGAGTTATGGACTTATTAAACTATGTATCTACATCCAATCAAAAGACAACCCTGGTCTGTTAATGATTCCAAACAGAGGCTTTCAGACAAATACGCATCATGATTATCAGTGTAATCTGAACAATATTCTGTATTTGATCACAGCATTGAAAATGAATGCAATAAACGAAAATCTGTGCACTATACATTTTTTAGGCAATTTATCGGGTGATGTAATTAGTTGAGTACTACAGTGATCTGTATGTGCACTGTGCTTCTTCATTAATGTCAATGATTTATATTCAGCTATGATTAGTAGACTAGTCATGCTTGCAGGGGATTCAAACATAGGTAGATTTGCAAACACTGTAGAAACTGCAAAGGAAATACAGAAGACCAGGCAGGTGACATTTAATGTAGCCAAGTAAAGAGTGTTACTGGTGGAAAATAAACCAGATCTGTGTGTGTTTCTGCTGACATCATTTACATCTTTGAGACAATGTGAGGAGTGATCATAATGTAAATAATATTAGGATACACTTCTGAAAGTGCAGAATTCAAATCATTGGATGTGAAGTTTGAAATGATCACCTCATTAGTAGTAGCCTTAGATCTCCTTTAGAATGGTGTCCAAATTTTGGTCACCGTTTTACAAAAAAAGATTGCTGTTCCTGAATTAGTCAAGAAATGTATTTTCCCCACACTTACAATGCAAAATAACTCAATTATTTGGAGTCTAGAACAGAAAAAGCTTCATTGTCAAAGCTCTGCCTTCATTTAAGAAATGGCTAAGTGACCCCTTTGGATCGATCTGCTACTAAAAACCAAAAAGCCTCCCCTTGTTTGTAATTTTCATGTTGCTAAACTCAAAAAGTGTTTAAAACCACAAATTTGAAGTGATTTCAAGTGGTTACGTTGTGCTTGACCGTGTCATTAACAACACAGAACAAAACTTTTGAACTACAGAACAAGCTTGACAGAGATTAAGCTATAATCTATACAAAATGGCCATATTAGTGGCAATACTGCACTGGCCTGTCAGCCACACTTTGTCGACATCTGTGCACAACTTACAAATGACCAACCACAGGACTGAGCAACACCCAGCTTGGTCTCTTGTCATGGGTAAGATTAACACCGAGAAGCTGAGTGGCCAATGTAGTACATCTTCAGACAACTAAAGTAAATCTCAATCTGACCTTTTATTTCTGCTGTAGGTCTTGGGAAAGACAGTAGGGAGATGTGTGTAACAATACTGTAGGCGGTGGCTTAAGTTATTTTTTTAGATAATGGTTCTTGGCTTTACTGGAGCATAAATTCTGCCAAACCACACTGACATTGGAAATACTCACAATACTGCTTATTTTTTCTAAATAAGACTATGACAGCCATAGGAAAACTAACATGAAAAACTGTCTGCAGAATGAAGTCAGCGTTTATCTAAAATGTACCAGTATCCTCAATTTCATCCTTCCGTGTATTCATGTAAAGGATTTCGAGATTACAAAAGAGCTTTGCCGATTTTAACATCTTTCTTTTTTTATTAAAAGGCACCTGACACGATGTTGTTTAACTGCATTCATTTTTGAAGGGATCTGGTGGTTTCAGTCGCTTTTTGTTTTTTAAATGGGTGGTTTAAAATGAGAAAAGACAACACCACCTGTGTGTTTAAAGAGAGCCCGCTATTCACAGCAGCGACAAAGAGCCAGTTCCAGAAGTGATGTCACCCCCTTCTGAAACCGGAATTCTGCTGTGTTAGAGGACCCGGTCTGTCTAGGGAGAGGCGCTGTGCATGCTGGGATTGAACCCCGCTCCCTTCACACGCGTCCCACTACTGACCTGGCCGTGCACTGCGTCATCACTGGCCTCCTGCTCCGAGGAAAAGCTGTCATCTTCCTCCTCTGAGTAGTTATCGATGTCTGGAGACCGGTCTGCCAGAGACAACATGAAAATGAATGGACATCGCGGCTTCTTCCTTCAATATTCAGAGGACTTTTTTCAAGAGAAAGTTGACTCCAGAAAACAGGAAAAAAAACCTGAGAATAAGGAACAGGGGTCTGGCTAGGTACTGTTATTAATACTTTCCATACTCCATACTGTATGGAAATTACTAGGCTAAAATGTTACATTTTTTAATTACGATCTGACTGATGTTTGTAATGTTCTCCTTCAAAAGTGCCATATAAAACAGAGGTAGCCTGATGACTTGACACAAACCATGCAGGCTGCATTTCTGCAAAAACTGACCTAGTCTGTGTAGATGTATGGAAAGGGAGAATATTCTACAACAGGCTGACATGCAGAGATCACAATGACAAACCCCCAGCTCATCACCCCACGGCTTACAGAAGCTGGTCAAGCGTGCCTTATTAATGGCTGATCATACTAAGCCAACAAGTGTGTTAAAAGGATATTGTTTATACTGTGTGTCTACATGTATTCAAACATTTCTATCACTATTCACTTTAAGGGAATATAGATTACATTTAAATTCAATATTTGGAGAAAGTATGACTATAAAGTGCACACAGGAAGATATAGTGTAGCTGATGTTTTCATTTTGTTAGATTTCATTCTAGGCAGCAGCTGTTTCCATTTCCTTTTTCTTAATCAGTTCACTTCAGTGAAGCCGATTACATTCGACGGGAGAGAAAGGAAAACAGCCGCAGCAGAGAATAAATAAGCTCAGACATTAAAGTTCCTCGTTAAGTGTGATAAATATCTCAATTTTCCCCACTGACAAAATATAATATTCAGAGGCAAAGGCTCATCTGTTGTATTTCAGTGAATGCGCCACAATAATCATCTTATTGCGTTTTACTTCACTAGGAAATGGACTTTAGAATTATACCGCTATTAAAATCCCCAGTGGACAGTACTGGCTCTTGAAGTCTTAACCCATGTTCTCCAGCACTATTTCGCCTTAGTGTTTCATAAACACTGCTGAATTTCACAGCGATTTCTCTCGCATCCTGGCATTTACTCCCATTTTCAGTGGGACCAGTTCTAAGGGGCCTGAAAGGTTTATAGAACATACTTCTACACTGTAAACGCTGAAGACACCACATCACTGCACAAGGGCAGGAAACAGGCAATCTGTGATTCTACTCTGGGATCTGCAAAACAGAACATGTGGCAGCACTCCCAGAACAGGGACTGGACTGAAAACAGATGCAGACGGCCTCCACTGTCAACGCGTACCTTGTTACAAGCAAGCAAATAGTGATTCTTACTCACAAAGACATGACCTGCCAGATACTGCTCATCTCCCCCCTTGCTGGGTATACCTGCTGGGTATGTGCTGATCAATAAGTAGGCTCTGCCTCCGGACAGACAGCAGTTATCTGCGGGCCCCTCTGAGATACTACACAGCGCTAAGGCCTGAGAAGCATCGAACGTGAGGCCGGGTCATTTCTTGCACACATCTTCTCCTGCCCCCCTCCCCTCCGCCGCTCAGAGACACACAGCACCGCGAGCAACCCCAAACAAAAGAGCAAGAATAAAAAAAAAGTCCTGGAAGAAAAGTCACTAGCGCTGCTTCATTTAGTGAAGAATAACACGCATCACAGGATGGGCAACGATAAAAGCCTCACTGCTGAAAAGTACCTTGAAAGATTGCAGACTTCGCAGAAGGGTGGCCCATTCTCACCTTTCGTTAGCAATACTTCTTTTCACACTCCAATTCCCAGACAGACAACGTACAGAGCCAACACCCAGCTTTATTTCCAATCATCCAAACTGACAGACTGTACCGGCTGAAAGGGTGGTGGGGGAGGGGAGGTCTGACCTGAGGCTTTTGTCTTGGGCCCCGCCTGAACGCTGCCGTCCTCGTGGTCGATGGGCTGGCTGGAGAGGGAGTACACGCTGATCTCCGCGGCTCGCACCGCCGCGTCCTTCACGTTGCTGTGGAGGCCGAGAATCTGGCCTCCGTCGGTGGGATGTTGCATTACCTGGGACACACAGAGGCGCCGCGCGCGGGTCAGGCCCCGAACCAGTTTCTCCGCCTCCACCCTCTGCCCCCAACGCGCTTAACACCTCCTGCGACCCAAGAGGACCCAAGAGGAGCTCTTGAGAAGGTTTCCCACGAGTGTCTGGATTCTGCTCGCTGGAACGACTCTTCAGGGTCAAAACATCTTTTTTGTATCTCGTGGGGCTCTTGAAATCAACGGCACGTTTGGAAAAAATAAATTGAACACAACAAGAAAAGACCTCCCCTGGAAAGGGATCCAAACTGATCCATATCTAAAACTAAAAAAAAAGAAAAAAGTTCAAAAACAAATGCTTCACATTGATAGATTTAAACTGCTTTTTGCAGAGGCATAGCTGTACTTATTTCACATTGTCAAAACTCCTGATAGGCGGGGGGTTCATTTAACTTTCGGACTGCGTTTTCTGTCTCGGCTGCAGGCTGGATTCCACGAAGGAACTTATCAGTTACCAACTGGAAGGAAGAGTGGGCTGCAACCAAGCTGACTTCATTTGGTTTTTACTTCAGGGGCAAAATAAAACAAAAACCCCCATTAAAAAGCACAAAATTAACCTCTTGGTTTAAACTGTCATTTCTGATCCTATTTTATTTTTTATTTGATGATTCCAAGTCGACCATAATTTTTTAATCAAGATAAACGACTTACTTTATTTTGGTATGGTAAATCTGTTCAATACCAAATGTGAAATTATGAATATTAATTGTGATACTAAACTATTTAAATAGATCCATGCTTTCTCCAATTTGAGTTTCAAATTGATAGGCACTGCAGACAAAATCTCTTGCAACTCATCCAGGTTTTTCAGCCTTGTTTGTATTACAGTTAAAAGCACAGATCCCAGTTGGGACACAATCCCAGAACCTAGAGATTTAAAAAGTCAACGCCAATATCTCTCAAGATACAAATTAACTGCATTTAGAGAAACTGATCAGGAGTCATCCAGTATCTACCAACTAACGGTCCATGTTCCACTTACAGATCCACTTAGACAGTCAAACAAGACTGAATGAATTCTAATTTTCTCTTGCTAAAAACTCTTAAAAACATTGTTTCACTATTAATTTTGCTTTACATATTTCAACAATGAAACATGCCTATCATCCATGGCAACTGGGTTGCCAAGAGAACTCGACTGAAAGTTCTTTATACCTTTTCCTGATCCATACAGCAGAATAAAAGGACTCCCACCTCCTCCAGATCAATCTTCACCTCCACTCCAGAGGAGCAAAGTGCTAAACTTCTCACAAAAAAGTCTTCTACAGTACATTGGTGTTACTTAAGAGAAAAAAAAAAACATCTAAAAAGCCATACTGGAGGTAACCACTCAATCCATGATGATCAAAAGACAAAATGGTTCTCCTCTGATGAACATCTCTAGAAAAGAAGGCAAGGGGTGGGAAAAAAAAAATGAGCAACTAAAAGCCTTCCCTTAGACAGGAAGGCTGTAATAATAAGGACAATAAGGGCACTTACAGAGCTGCAGGTGGACCACCCGTTATGGAAAAGGACTGCATTGATCAAGAATATCAAGAATGGAAAAAAAAAACACTATAAAAGAACTGAACAGTGCACCCAAAAAAAAGCACTCATGCAAACCGCCCACACGAAGTGACAGCGCGGCAAAGGCAGTGTGAAGCATCAATGCGCTGACTGTACCAGACACATGCGTCACAGACAGGGGTCTGCACTCAGCCGGGATGAGCACACAAATGGGAGCTAGGCAGGTAGATATGAAATCCTGTCCCCATGGCCCACGATCTCACTTATTCATTTCGCAAACGTGATTCGTTTAAGGGACAAAAAGCAGTTTTCCACCTTAGACAAAAAAAAAAAGTCACATGCTTACCATGGGGCAATAAATTAAAACCAAGTAGTAAGAACTTCCAATGTTGCTTAAGGTATAACCTGGGGTGGCAGTACAGCACACTTCAATCAGCCCTTTTATGCAAGAGTGACTTCCCACATTCCACCATGCCTTCTGCAGATACAAGCAATCGTGCAACACCATCCGGGATTTTTTTTTCCGCCCCCATTCTGCAGAGGTCCAGCAAGCAATCACACGTCCCATTCGAGCTGAATTACAAGCCTGCCCCGAATGGAAAAGTGAAACCCGTCAGCCTGTTTTTAAAGCAGGGAACCTATACCGGGGCTGGAAACGACAGCTGCAGTTCAGTCATTCCTCTCCTGAGCGCCATGTTTTTTAAGCTGAGGATCGCTCAAGTGGCTGTGCTTGCTTACTGCTACCAGCTTTGTCTTCTGGGCCCTGCTCCAGTTCAGTTCCGAATCACAGGCTTCACTCTTCCATCCAGGGCAAGCTTGTAAATCAGCTCGAATGGGACGTCTAATCGCTGAGCTCCAGAACTGCCCTCTTTCACAATAGAAAAGTAACTAACTGGACTCTCTACAGAATGGGGGAAAAAAACAACTTTGCGGGAGGGTTTGATAAATACAGTGTTATTCTTGCCTGTCTGTTCCCCGTAAAGTGATTACAGATTCAGAGCTGTTTAGTCAGAAAAAAAAAGGGTCAGCAGGTTGAAGAGATCCTGTTTGAAGTTGCGCATGAAGATGTTCGGGAAAAAATACCTTTGAAGTGGGATATTTATGAAACTCAGGACTGAGTAGAAAGACAAGTAAACCACAAGTCAAGCAAGCACATCAATTAAAGGCATCGATTAGCTGGAAGAAACAGTAGAAGAGATGGGGTCTTCCAGGGCATCGGTAGAGCGGTGGTCTGGACAGAGGTAAGAGAAAAGCGCTAGACATGCAGACATGCACATCATGACATCTCAATAAGCACATGTGTTGACAAGCAGAATAAAAGGCAAGCAAAATGTTATGACATACACTTAAAAGTTACACTCCTTCCTTAAAACTTATATTTCGTGTCTAGTCAGGTGTACAGGCAGGTGAATGCCCAGCAGGTAATACACCTAACTAGACAAGCAATTTTAAAGGCAAGCAAATTGTTATGACATTGACATTTATATCAAGGGGCATTTAAACTGTGTAATAAATTCATAAGGCCTCATTGAGAATATTTTGTATAATATACCTTGTTACATAGAAGATACTGCTGCTCTGGAATCAGTCCAGAGAAGGGAAACCACAAAAATTCAGGGCTTTAGACAATGTCCAACACTAAAAATTATGTTCCTTCAGCCTGCCCGTCTAAGGTTAAGTGGGGACCTGATAAAAGTATTCAAAACCCTCCAAGGCAGTGACAAAGTCACTGTCCTGGATTCCGAAGACCAGGAAATGAACACAAGTACCAGGAGGTGCTTTTTGTGCACAGGTTTCCAGGAGTATGGAACAGGCAAGCCAGCTGTGTTTTTGAAACCAATACTCTTTCAAGAAACAGCTGGATGAGATCTTTGGCTCGGTAACGTACCAGCTACCGAAGGGCCTCCTCTTGTTTGTAACCTTTCAGGTGCTCTATTCTGAATAGGTCCCACACTTTCAATTAAAGGCACTCCTGTGGTTTAGGAAACAAGGCTCAATACACAAGTGACTTGGCCCCTCCTTACCTCTGCCATGTTAATGACTCCCACAGCCAGCGTCTTGTAGCCCAGGATTGTTCGGTTTTTATACCTCTTCCTCCTCTGCAGCATTATCTGCAGCCGGTTTGCATCCCTCTTGAGAAAGTGTGGATACTACCGGAAAAAAAAAAGAGCCCATCTGACAGCTTAACAGAAGGAGTGCAGCAATTGCTCTTATACCTTACAATCCTTCTACGTTTGCATCAAGGAACAGACTGATCATCATCACTGCCTTACTGCAGTCCAGCTGTCTTGCCGGTCTCAAACTGCTATACGTCTGCGTTGTCTTGTAACATTGAAAACATCTTTTCCTCGAAAACAGGAGAAATTAAATAAACTCTACCTGTAACGAAAAGGTGAGCTCCAGATCTGTCTCCATCAGCCCACTGGGTGGAAGGGCATATTCGTTTGATCTGAGGATGCGTTTTGAGCCCTGCAACACATCAAAAGGCAGCAGCTGGAATGAGGAAAGCATTCGAAGCAAATTACAAACGCACAGCGGGAAGAACAGCACATCTCAAGGGGCATATCTTTATCGGTCCTTATCCATTAATCCCTGAAGTAGCTCAATCTTCATAAAGACAAACTAACAAAAGGTAAAAGAGATCTATACATCAGCAATGTTGAACAGACCCTCTCCAACTACACCCTGGCTCAAGCTGATGTTTGTGGATGTGCTGAAGTGGCGTTGAATTGGGTTGACTGCCGTTAATCAAGCTTAGGAGAAGTTTCCACAATCTTCTGAAAATTACCTCAAATCAGACTTTGTTATTTTTGCCTCTTGTGTTTTAATGACAGATTAAAAGCACTAGGTGGTCAGTAATCAAGACACTGGAAGTGGAATTGAGCACAGTGGTATGGTGAGAGCGTGATTCTGTAAAATAACAAATGGACTTCTGATGCCAGCATGCTTCAAATAGATGAATTTCTTGGCAGTCCACAGATGTTGTTTAAACCTGGGACCCACTTTCATGATCACATTTAGACTCCACATTTAGAAGGACTTAGAGTGGACTTGTTAATATTGTGTTAAACCAATGCTCCTAAGGGTGCCTGCGACGAAGAGCACCACAGAAGACAGAAGAATAACTTGTGTACATCATATCATCTTCTTCCACATCTGTCAAGCTCAGAAATATGTGCGGAAAACACAATTTAGGGTGGATTTTACAAGGCAGTTTTAATCACAAAGGTTTTCAAGTTCATAGAGGTCCATACTGGCTGAGGGCTGAGGATATATCGAGAAATCAGTCCATTTCCCTAAATGCAGAGCTTTGCAATCTCCCACAGAACAGCTTTCAAATACAAGGCCCCATTACTCAAAGTAATTCATTACAATGTCACTCTTGCCTAAACAACAACAACAACAAAAAAACAGCTGACTTACTGCAGCTCATATCCCTGTTCACAAAGTCCATTCTTCTCTTTCACAGAACCACTTATGCATGCGTGGGCTGATCTGTCCAACCGCGCGGACTCATTACAAAAGCAAATCGGCCCCTGCAGAAAAGCGAGCCTCTGTCCGAGACGAGCGCCAGGCAGCGAAATGAGAAACTGACGTCAGGGAAGGGGGAACGACTGTTCAGGACAGTGAGGAAGGCGCACGGCAGAAATCGGGAACTGAGAAATCCGGCACTTGCTCTCCAGGAGAGCCGCATACGTATGTACTGACCCGCACAAGTCCCGGGCGTTGCTTTGGTGTTGGCGGCGTTTATACCCCACCTGACGGTGCCATTGCGCAGTGTGAGTCCAGGTTTTGGTTCTGTTTTGTAAAGTTGATTACCCATGCTTTCAATGCCTTTCGACACATTTCTTAGGAACTGTGGTTTAGGGGTGTGCGGTAGTGGCAGTGGATCTAGGGTCCAGGTGATCTAGGGGATTTACAACTTGGAGATTTTGCTCGGTTCCCCGCATTTGAGCTAAGAGGGGAACTACACTACAAAGGGACTGAAACAAACTCGGATGGATAGGATCCAGAGAGGAGAGACGGGGACTTGGGCTGCCTCTTGATTGTAACTTTCCTGTGATTGAATAGCCCCATGCCAAACCAGGTCTCTGGTGTTTAACTTACAACGCATCTGGTTAGATGATTACCAGAGGCCACGCTACTACATTTGTGTTTTGTTTTCTATTTCAAGGGCAATGATATCAGAAGGGCTTGGTTTTCTTCTCCCTTTTTGATTGTGTGATCTACCCAGACAGCAGGAATGATTCTGCAATGTACAGTGCCTTCCTTAGACCTGACCCCTCTGTCGAGATGCCAAATAAATTCATACAGGTTAACTTGGTATCATTTTCAGTTGATAACGGATTGTAAACGAAAGACTTGCACAGTAACAGCAGGGAATGAATAAGATGCTTTCATTCTTATCAACTAGCAATCAAAACATCCCCTCACCCCCCAAAGTCAGGTGCAGTATTCCATGGGAAAACAGCCAAAATTCTGATTTTAATCGGGGAGCTTTACCAATATAGTTACCTTGACTGAATGTCACAGCAGCAATCGAAATTCTGATTATCTGATTTGTTCCGTCTGCTTTCCTTTCCTTGACTGACACGTCACGATGATTAAGTAACACAGACGGAATCATTCAGTACACCTGTTAAGTCTCTTTTATAAACCAGGTGATAGCCTGATCTTTGAGAAATACCAATGGAGATACAATTGCAGCAAAACTGGTGTAATTATTTTTTTTGTACTCTTGCCAGCCTCTATCTACAATAAACAAAGAGGACACTCCTACACACTTTCCCTGTCTAGACAAGCTTTACGGGCCAGCACAAGATCTGTCATAATGTGTACGACATTGCACACCAGGGAGTTGTGATAACTGTTGCAAAACATTTTTTAGCCTTTGTCCATTTAGTCCGCTACAGCACACAAACCGTTTCAAATACTACCAACACGACAGACGCAGACATTTTAATTTTATATAGTCCATGGATTTCCACTTTCATTGCACACCAAATTGCAATAACACGTTTCACAACTAGTCAGCTGAGTGGATAATTAAAAAGAGTGCTTAGATTCATAGTTGACATATTAAGAAACAGGCATAGTTTACCATGCAAGAATAACATTAAATATCTACTGTATAAAACATGCGGGTACCAATTGATTAGAAACTAATCCTGACTGCTTAAAAGCTGATGCATGTAAATACTTCATTTCAAACATGAAGCTTTGGAATGTTCTCCACTTAAAACTGTCAAGCACAAAGCCAAGACTATAAAAGACATCAGAAATACCCAAGTGTACAAACTGGATTGTATGATTTTTACCACACGGGGTTTAAACTATATCAGATTCATTACTAAGTAAAACATATGGAAGTTCCACTGATCACTTATTACACATTTCAAACACAATACAATGGTAAAGTTACATTCCTTTGTGAGCAGTACCTTCCTAAATGAATTACATTATTCCCTTTATCTCTGTACCAAACACCCCCATCCACGATCTGTTATTGAATGTTGAAATCCCTCATTTCTCATTTCAATGAAATTTGAGACAAATGTGGAACACTACAGGCATCCGATTGTTTTCCTTTTCAATAACTGCATCTTAGACATTTAATCCACTGAGGACCCAGCAGGAAATGTATTTTCATTGTAGCAAAATAATTTAAAAGACAAAAAAACTTTTAATTTCACAGAGTTATTAATGTATCAGAGGAAAGGGTCATGGAGTTCTAACACTAGAAAATTCTTTGTTCTTTAGTTATGATCATGTTGGCTAAATTGGTTCCATTAACAAGCAGAAGCAACCTTGTGATAGAACAACAGTGAGTAACATACGGTTCTTGCAGATTTGTTCCTCACTCTAAATGAACTTTCCTTCATCAAGTGATCAGCTTCAGAGGGAAAAGAGCATCTGAGAATCCCTGTCGATCAGATTCAAACCAGCACACGTTTGAAAAATTCTTAGGTTGAAAAGCACCCCACAAATAACAGCGGAATAAAAACCAAAGCTTGGCAGTTCTATGCGAACCCATATATAAGACAAGGAACAATGTGATTTTTTGTTTGACCAGCGGAGCGGTAATACCACTTTCTAATGTCGTGACAACTGCTGCCAAGGCTGGTGTAGGTGCACATTCCCTTGAGGCCAGAGCTTGTCAAGACTTGCGTCTCATCAGCAAACGAGGCTTGTGCTATTCCTGGAAGAGACCTGGTGGTGTTTCTACCTAACCTAATTACCAAAGGAGAGTAACCAAGCCTCTCCTCGCCCAACCCTTCCCTGACACCAGCCTCACCTGACCCCTCAGCCATCTGGCACCATCGAACCGGAGCTGACCGGGTAGGGGAGGAGGGCAGTTCAACTGCATTCTAACAGGACCCTGCAATTCTGTAATGCTACAAATCCCTTGGCTTTTACTTGATCCTGTTTCTGCGTGTGGATGAGGATTATCAGAATACTTAGTACCTGGAGAAGACAAAAGCTATTGTAATCCTTTTGCACATGATCTTGCTGTAATTATGTGTACAGCTGTGTCTTTTTCTTAAACTCTGCAGCAGCGATGATTTTTTTTCTTATTCCCACCCCAATAAGCAACTGTGTTGCTCATGTCTCGGCTCGCACCCCCTGACCGCACACGGGGGAGTGAAAGAGGAAGTGCGGGCAGACACCTGTACCACGCCCACCTGTGAGTCACCTGTCTTTTAACACTGTCACTGATGACACAGCCCTGCGCGACGGATTCAGCGCCAAGTACAGAGGATGCCTGCAGTTCTGCAGGTGCCTGGGAGGCCGCAGGGGTCCCGGAGAAATAAGAGAGCCTGGCCTAACAACCCCACACTCCCCTGAGCGTCATTCAGGCCGATTGTGCGTGGTCTTCTGGGAAACCCCAGTCACAGTCGGCCAGTGACACGACCCTGGCTCGGACCTGTGACCAGAGATCAAACACTGCACTTGTGTGAGCCACTCAGGAGGCTGTTCACTTGAATTTCTTCCAAACTGACAGACTTGTGAACCGAAAAACCATTTGAAACTAATTTTATTTTTAACAAAAGCTGGCACAATTACGCTTTTTTTTTTTTGCTAATGGATATTATTTTGGCAGAGCGACACCCTTTGAACAGCAAGCAGGCAGAGAAGCGAAAAATAAATACTGATTTCTCTATCGGGCAGGTGGCTTTTATTAACTCTGTTTACATTTTTTAAGTATACAGATTAAAGACCATATGACTTAAAGTGGGAGCCAAGTCATTTTAAAAAATAAAGGCTCTGTTCCTGCAGTTCAAGCAGGTAGCATTCTTCCTCTGGGTAGTAAAGTAGGTATGATTCTCCCTTAGGGCTATAATCTGCACACTGTAGCATGAACCTTCCATCTGCTATCACAAAGCCACCTTTTCTGGTCAGGGTTATGGCAAGCTGGAGTGCACCATAGAAACACAGTGTGAAATTTGGGATAGATGGCATAAACGTTC